CGGTGGTGCAACGAGCGCGGCCAGGGTCTCGGGTTCCAGGCCTGAGGCTCAGGTACCCATCTCCAGGAACGTTATTAACAGAAACGATGCCAGAGCGTCCGGCAGACCGGTCGGTGCTATCGAGAGCTTCATTGAAGGTAATTCTTCGGATATTACTAGACAGGCAGCTGCCACCGAGTATAAATTGTACGAGCGTGAAAATATAATAGCTGCTTCACGATTTGCCACTCCGAAGCCAGTGGAGCAAATTAGTAGCGCAACAGCAGCAGCAGCAGCAGCAGCAGCAGCAGCAGCAGCAACAGCAGCAGCAGCAGCAGAATCAGACTCGTGGAAGCCATCAGCAAGCACCTGTTTATGAAAACATAGACTACTATCCGCAGCAGAGTCAGCCACATCCACCCTACTATCATCCAATTGAATCTAGGAAAAGTCCGAAGAGTAGTCCTAGAACTTCATTAGTCGGTGACTCCTACGAAGGAAGTTACAGGAAAGCTCAGCCGCAAGTGCCAACTGGTAATCGATACCAGAGTACATCCCCAGCGAAAGAACTACCGCCATACGAGGCTCCACCCGTATACGAGAACATACAGGAAGTACACTTCTCTGAGAATAAGCCAGGACCTCAGGTTCCGACGAATTATTACCATCCAGCGAACATCAATGGCGGTGACTATGTTGTTATGACCGGAAAAGTAGGCCAATCTCAAAGTCAACGTGGTATACCTCAAAATTTATCATATACGCAACAGAGAAGCGGAAGCATGCGCGGTCAGAGTTACGATAGTTCAAATTTACAGCGATCAATCGACTCATCTACATCTAGATACTTACAGGGTACGTCCTCCGTCTCCTCCTCGGATCACCAGGCTGGAAGAAGCGCCTACGTGCCTCCTTCCGAGCTGCAGCCAAATAGAAACTTCAATTATAGCGCGGATCAGCAGCAGCAGCAGCAGCAGCAGCAGCAGCAGCAACAGCAGCAGCAGCAGCAACAGCAGCAATCTCCAAGAACTGCTTTACCTTATCACAGCGAATCCCCACCGATACGCTTACCACCGGAATCGCATCACTATCGCGGTTCACTGGAAAACACTATGAGCGGGCAACAAGGATTCCGTGCTGCAAGCCAGGTCGACAACAGCCAACTCTCTCAGTTTCGGCAGGACAACCCGCAGAATTACAAACAATACGTTGAGCCGTCTTCAAGGTCTGCTAACACGAACTTTTCAGGAGATTCGCAAGCCAGGAACTCACCAGTGTACGGAATTCGTCCAGGAGAGCCGACAGCGTGTCGCAACTCTCCGTGCTATTCGCCGAATCGAGCGATGCCTCAAAACGAAAGGAACTATCATCATCAGGAGAATCGATCGGACTTCCCCGTGAGAAATTCTCCCGTTTACTCCTCAAATCGTTCCGCCGAGCACTTGAGATTAGGCATGCTGCAGCAGAACGACAGGAGTTACATGTCGGATGCGACGGACCCCACGGCTACGAGGAGCTCACCTCTGTACTCTCCGAGCCGCGATCTCACCAGATCCATTATCGCTAACAACAATGCAGTAAGAGAATCTCCGAAAACAAGCCCGACACACGGCCAAATCTCATCAGACCTTGTTTCGCAGAATATGCTCAACTCACCCAGACACGGACCGCCCCTTTCGTCGAACAATTCCGTCGGGAGTCCTGTGCGCGGACAGGTGCAGGCCGCCGTGACCAGCGCGTCGACCACAGCCAGCGAGTCTGACGTGAACACCGGCCCCAGGATCACTAGTCTTCCGCCCGGCGTGACAAGCGGAGTGGCAGGACCCGTGCTTTTAAACGCCGGCGTACCTGTACTGCAGCGATCCACCGATCCAGAGGCAGAGGAGAAAAAGTCTGTTAGTCCGCCGATTAAGCCAGCACCGGGAAAGGGGTTGCTACCCTACAATGTCATTTCTAGGCCCTCGGTAAATCTGTCGCTACTTGCTTGCGAAATTTCTTCCGGAAGCTCTCGCGCTTCCGAAAATCTTGTATACGCACGCCCGTACGCGCGCCGCACGCTCATTATATTATCATTGCTGCATATCATGCTAAGAAAGAACGCGGGAGTGGCGTATAAATGAATTGCGTTAAGTGGGTTAAGGAAACGTGTTGATCATAATGTATGTCAAGCTTGCACTCTGGCCGAATGCCATAAAGACTATATATAAAATTCATACAAGAGATGCGGGCACACAATGCTAATTCGTTTCATATTGACTGAAGTGTAATACTATCCTGCTTAAATTGCATTTTTATTTCAAGCATTTCGAGTTGTTTGGATAGATATCTCGATGTTCGCAAATTATTTATTCAAAGCGTACGTTTCTCAAAAATCGCAAGCGATTTTCGAAGCATACTTCCTCTGCGCTGTATTGGTGATGATCTCATTAATGCCGGCATCTTAATCGCTCGTATTTTACATAACGCTTGACCTGTGTAACGATAAGATTAACGCGCCAACGAAAGCACGATTCGCGACCGTCACATTTTTCCTGCTTGCGCATTTTGTTATTGGACTGCACGTCGTTCGATCCTCAACGCAACAAAGTTTGGAAAACTGCTTAGAATTCTATCCGAAGAATTCTTTCTTCACGCACTCGATGAATCATAGCCGGTAAATTGCTTGCCGCTGAGAAGCTTACATTTGCTGAATGATATTTTATTCATGAGACGTTCGTATTTCCGCGCGTTTAGTTTTTAACATTTTCTGTTCTTTGTTTTTTTTTTTTTTTTTTTTTCGTCTTTCCCATAGTCTTTCTTGTTCATTTGTTAAACACAGAAATAGAGATGTAATAACAATAATGTGTAAAAATAGTAGTTTCGCGTAACATTTGCACGTAATGTAACGTTAAATGTATAAGTGTAAAGAACAGTACACATAAAGTACATAAATCAACATAAAAAATATCTTAATACCGCTTTCGAAGAACGATAAATAATAGCTGCTCTGTTTGATAACGCTAATTTTTTTTACAGCTAGATTACGAGTATAAAGTAATACTTAAGATACATATTAATCATATGTAGATTGTTGTTTTGCTATGTAAAGTACTGTTTCTGATTAATATGTTCTTCATATGCAATTTTCTTTTCACAGGGACCGACGGAAGCAGAGAGAAAAATAGAGGAGCTGACGAGGCAACTTGAAGAGGAAATGGAAAAGCAGGAAGAGGAGGGAGAATACTTCGGTAAGAAACTACTTACGTGACGTTTATTCGCGTGTTCCGGAAAAAAAAGCGGGCTTATCGGTGCGCTTCGTGTTCCACATTTCTACGCGACACCGCGCGCCCATAGATGCGCGAACGATCGTTGTTCAGGCAGAACCGTTTCGTTTGGTGTTATCAGCGCTTACGTTATTGTTTTTACATTTTCCATATATTTTGTGGCAGGAGTAAAGAATGATTAGAGAAACGAGTGCGTCAAGTTCGTGCGATACAGCCGATACATAAGTGAATTCGTAATTTTAGATATTTCTAGGAAATGATAAAAAAAAAAACGTGGACAACGATGACACGCCGTGCCAATTCCCACGGCGCGAGCTCGCGTTTAGACCGGTTTCGAAAAACGGAATCGAGCCGTTTCGGTGAGCCGCGGATACTTTTTAGCGCGACATTTCGTTGACATTCACTGTCGCGCGCGCGCGCGCGCCGCGTCAACACCCGCCCACGTATTTCTTCGCGTCTCTCCTACGTAAAGGGCTACGAGGGAGCGAATGTGCGACACGTGTGTGCAACGCCTAGGTGCATACACAAGCGAGTAGGCTGCTTCAGTCTCACGTCTCTTTAAAAGCGCTAAAGTAGCGCTCATACCAATATCAATGGGCGCAACGCGTTGCATCAATGATCAGCAATTGCTACTGCTGCATTTGTTTCTGCTGCTTCCTCGTGTCAAATGCGATAATGGCAGCGGCTCAATGATTTCACAAGATTGTGTTTAATACGGAACGAAGAAATTAAACTGTTTATCTCTCCGAGTTTGTTTTTTTTCTTCCGCTTCTCTCCATTATATCTAATTATGTCAATTCGCTTGGCTGCTTAACTACGAATACTTGTACGTGAACCGCGCTATTGCGTCATTATCTGTCACGCGTTTCTCATGCTGCATTCTTTCGAAAATGTGACATTTGGCTTTATTTTAATTGAACAAGTGTATTTAATGTATCTTGAAAACGATAACAGCGCGTCTGATAAAATAAATCTATTAAAATCTATGAAGCCGAATTATACAGTAAATTTCATTCCGTTAGAATAGTTGAAATAATGTCGCCTAACTGTGTCAACAAGTAAGCAGAAGAAACGAAAGAGTTATATAGCTATTAGAATATAAATGTGAACGCAGCCTAACGCGCGCAATAAGGAACTCAGCACGAGCGGACAGGCACCTCGATCGTGCGAAGTAATGTCAGTCGAGAAGTGGCAGGGCGTTTAGGCAAACGTAGTGTCCCCCTAGTCGCGCGCGTACTTGCAGACGAGACGTATTCTTCGTGTAACATCCTGTACGCGAAGCCGTACTGCGTCGCGCGGCACGTAACTAATCTCGTTATAGATAGACCAGTCTGACTCGTTGGTCGGATTCTAGTCCGACCGAAAGTGGTCTAGCGAAAGCAAGCTGCAAAATTGAAACGGCCAGGGCGGGCGTGCGCGAATTACGAGAGTTTGTCGGCTGAGAGATGGCAGAAATCATTGTGCCCATCGAGAGCTGTGAGTTCGTTGATTTGTCCTCATTCATCCGCGACGGGTCGAATGGGTTTTGACCCTGATGAATATGCCGCATTGTTGCATCTGTCGATGCGCGTGTATTTTTAACCGAGTGAAATTCAGCTCTCATGAACTTTGCGCGTTATTGTGTTCGCGGCGAATGATTTTCGAGTTTTTTTCATTTGCGCGTTTCACGAAACACAACTTCTCCGTACAATTCATATTTTCTGCACGCGCATAAGCAGAAATACTAATGTTAATATAATTAAAAAATTTAGACAATTTCAAGCGGGTCAGAACAAACGCGGATTGATAACTGATTGATTATTTTGCAAATGTAGAACGAATAAAGTAGATATTTTTTGACAGGTATTTGCCATACGTGCGGTGAAAAAGTGACCGGCGCCGGACAGGCTTGTCAAGCGATGGGCAATCTCTACCACACCAATTGCTTCATATGCTGTTCCTGCGGAAGGGCGCTCCGCGGCAAAGCCTTCTACAACGTTCACGGGAGGGTTTACTGCGAGGAAGACTATTTGGTATGTGAACCGCCGCTTCAGCGACGCACCATTGAGATAATAATCAATCATAACGCTTAACTCATAGAAATCGTTGTGTTCGCAGTATTCCGGTTTCCAGCAGACGGCCGAGAAATGCGCGATTTGCGGTCACCTTATTATGGAAATGGTAAGCGGCGAGACTCAGTCATTATCATCCGTTGAAACGTCGTTGCAATTCAATAACGTCGTCTTTCGCTTTCCGTAGATATTGCAAGCGATGGGCAAATCCTATCATCCGGGCTGCTTCAGGTGTTGCGTGTGCAACGAATGCCTCGACGGTGTTCCTTTCACAGTTGACGTCGACAATAAAATCTACTGCGTCAACGATTACCACAGAATGTTCGCTCCCAAGTGCGCGTCTTGTGGAAAAGGGATAACGCCGGTTGAAGTATGCGCCTCCGAGATTAGCTCGCTCGAATAATCGAGGCCGCGGCGGCGTTTCTGATGAAAATTTCATTTTTCAGGGAACCGAGGAGACGGTCAGGGTAGTTTCCATGGACAAAGACTTTCACGTGGACTGCTACGTTTGCGAGGATTGCGGTATGCAATTGACAGACGAACCGGATAAACGGTGCTACCCACTCGACGGCAGGCTTATGTGTCGTGCGTGTCACATCCAACGCATATCGCACACGCAGCCAAGAGCGCCGCAGCCGGTGTCAGCTAGCTATCAGTTTATGGGCTAAATCGCATCGATAGTAGTTTTCAAAACTCTGCCGGAATTTTTCGAACACGTGAAAACAATGATCGTAGGAATAAATACCATGGGAATCGATTAACTGTGCCGTATAGAGGAGAGTATTGACACGCGCAGTGAAAAGAATGCGTAGTACAAGTCACATATTGCGTAGACAAAAATTAATAATTCGATAACAAATCTCAGAATTCTTACATAAGATTCTCGCTGTAACAGTTGGTAATCGCTGTAATTATTGGTGTATGCTAATACGGTTGTTATAAGTTGTTATATTCATACTCTCGTAAAACGCAAGATATTAAATTAATACTGTTACGATTAATAATCGATAATTGTTACAGTGCGTATAACAAAAATGATAGCCGATTATCTACCGCAAACTAAGTGTGTTTTTACAAACATTGAAATATTGCGATTTTTGAACCATTTTGGTCTTTTAAACGAAACGTCATTTTGATACAATCTCAAGACTGGTTACAGTGATTATAAGATTATAAGATTTCTATTTGAATTTATTTATTTTCTTTTTGCCGCATAAATTTTACCGGCGTTTTACCGAAATAATAATGAGAACGGGCTAGTTTAAGTATCGAAGAAGCTGGTATCAGATGAAGTTTGAGCGCGAGAGATGATGAAAGGAGAAATAAAAATATTCGTGATTCTTTTAATTAAAGAAAAACACAATCAAGAATTACTGTATTATAGTGAATTCGGTTGGATGCAGTGATACACACTGGCACATTGTATACAAATTGCAAAACACATGCATACATGTGTATAAATAAACTGGAGCCGCAAAATGCAGTATAATTTACTTTTTATTGCATCTCGCGGTACTTTTTATCTTTTACAATCGTTTTTAAATAAAATTGTTGACCATTGAAATATTTTATGCTATGTTTTCATAATTAAATTGATAAAAATATAACACTTATAAATGCGTAAATGCGTTACCTTTTAATCTGCTAATGTGACAGACTTTAATTCTTATTCAAATTTGCTATTAGAAAATGAAAATCATTACACTGCCCTCCGGGATCATTTTAACCAGTAAACGTAATATATGACTACGAGTACAATGATACTTTTAACCGAAAAAAGCAGAAACCGATAGTCTATAAGTAAGTGGTATATTTAATATATGCGATTCTTATTTATTTAGCCAAGGTACTCTGTGAATGCAGTGGTCTCATTAGGATGAATGAGTTGCGCAGGCAACTGTGATATAGTAGCATAATAGTTATTCATTGTTATATGAAAACTCCATACTTTTTAGCGCATGTATATATTATCCATCGCGTTTTTATCGCATGTTTTATCGCAAGTTTATGGAAACATGACTCTCGGGAACATTCCTGCGAATTTCCTTCGTCAATCAAGTTTCATCGTACTTCATATATCATTCAGTATTTATTAAGACAGATATGTCGTCTCTCGCTGCGAGGTCTCGCGCAATATTAAGGTTGCCGATATATGACACAATGTAGTATGATATGTATACTTCGAGGGCTATAATGACGTGTTTTAGTATTTTAGCATAAAAGACGGAGAAGTATGTTCGAAGTATGTTCGAAAAGTGTATGTTGGCGTGGTATCAATAAGCGACAATATTATAGCACTGAAAGACGCACAACTCGAGCTGCCAAATAATTGTTGTTACTCTTCAGGATTAATAAGCGTAATTGTTTCTATATTACACTTAAATAGCTTTAAGTTCGCGCGCATTGTAGATAAAAATATTATCCTATTTAAATCGTATAAACAATATGTATAAACGACAATCTTTCAATAAAGAAAAACTCTGCAGTAAGTGCATTTATTTATTTCGTTGCGATATTATATCGCGTTCGAAAGAATCCGCGTGCGTCTTTAGTACTTCAATTTTTTTTTTTAATTTTTATTTAACAAATATACCTAATTAAACGATATCTCGCAATGTGTGTCGCTAAATATACTTATTATTAGCGCATCTTTATACGGCTAAGATTTGTAAATTCGTAGACAGCTTGTAATTAACGCTCGTGACTGATGCAACATAATGATTGGATAAATAAAAAATAATAATGTGGGAGATGATTTATTATAATATAATATATATTTACAATCAAAAATACATCGATATCGCGGTACAGTGAATCCCCGAGCTACGCCAAACCCAATTCGTAAGTTGACATATTACGGGGGGAGATATTTATGGTTTTGGCGGTTCTGTGTTCGATCGATCCGCTTTATATTCCGCCTTCAATTTTGCCTTGTGTTCTGCTGCACATTTGTTTGACTGTATTGGCTACAACACGATTAAAGACAATTACGGATGGAGCACACATCCTGTCGTAATTGGAACGAGACTGATAATTTATTTTTCACGTGACAAGAGTACGACAATAGCCTCGCAAAAGACAAATGCGACCGAGATAAGTACGATATACTTGAAATTGATTGTAATCGGTAACCTACTCATAGTCTTGCGCACAGGCTGTACCATGTATGCGTGTAAAAAGAAAACAGACGAGACAGATGTTTCAAATGTAGACACAGAGATGATTATATGTTAAACACAGTTTATTTCTTCAGTTTCAACAGATTACATTGCACGTCGGGTAGATTACTCACCTCTGTTGAACGAAGCTTGAATGATGGCGCCTTCACGTATCCCATTTTACTTAAATATCTAATAGCCATTGTCGTCCCTCCTGTATTTCAGTATTAATTTCAGTATTAATGTTTAGCAAAGAAAATATATCAATCATATATAAAATATTACATGTAAAAAATTACATACCAACAGTAATAGTGTATCTCAGCGGTGTAAATATCTTATAAAGCGCATAAGTAATAGCCCAGTTGCCTGCACTCGAGTTACGTATTAAATCTACATATCTCTCACTAAAATTCATGTATTCCAATAGCTGTACTACATCCACACCACTGAAATTTTGTATACAATTAATCATCAAACTCAAGTGTCACGTATGTGTAAATTGTATTTACACGTACTTTCTAACAGCAGTATAGAATATAGCTATCCATCCTATGGAGGTAATCACGTGTACAGGTATTAATACGTGCCAATAATCTTTGGTCATTTGTTTCATTTTTTGGAATACTGTCATTTTCTGTTCCATCTGAGATTTCTGACAATCATTTTCGGAGCTTTGCTTAGAATCCGAATAGTATGCCAGAGTAATACCATTTTTGTTAACGTCCTGTTTCAGTGGCCTTCGATACGTAAGTATATTACTTACCAGGCCTAAAGAATTATGCGACGCGATTCTATAACGATGGTACCTTTCTGTAGAAGAAAACCAGATATTTTTTATAAAGCGTTTGTTATTAAATAAAGCGTATGTTGACGTTCAAAACATTCGCAATTGATCTTACCAGGAAATGCCGATCTCCAGCGTGTTGTATTAACGTGACATGTGTAACATGCCGACAATGGAAGATATTTCGTCAGCAATATAGAGGCATTGCTTAAATCAGAGCTAAATCTCAATCCACGAGTCAAGATTACTTCCATTTTGGAAAATACCGCTTCCTTAACCTACAATTTATTTTTATTTTAGCTATTTAGGCTATTAAATACGTAACAGAAAACAGAAAGGAAACATACAAAAACTAACAAGAAAATTTTTCAATTGTTCCCACGTCAATCTGCGTACTCAATCGTAATAATCATAAAATGTATTCACCAAAATTCACAATATTTTGACATATCACATCATGCTTCGCAATGCTTTGCATCGATCTGGGAATCACGACCAGGCGACATACTAATTAGCTGTCCGAATAGTGACATCTGTGAGGTGAAAATACAGAAGAAATACTATCTACAGCTGCTAATATGAACAAAAAGAACCCACCGTGGTCAATAACGTGCACTGAAATGATTTCGACAATTTAAAAGGTTAGACGATCTCAACGATAATACGATAGATCGATTAAACGATGTATTGACTGCGACGATTTTGATAGGCAATAAAAAAATAGATAACAGAAGAGGAACTATAAAAACTACAATGCGGATGTCAAAGCGCACAACAAATACTTCTTCATTATAAAAAGATACAAAGTAATTAAACATTTCGGCTCAATTTTGGGCCGTTTCTAGTTTGGCGAAATTCTAATCGAAGCCACGTGGAGTTGACATGTAGCAATCATACTCCGGCGCGTCGGCGGCGTCGTTTGATGTAAGATGATTGGGCCTTATGCGTAAAACTCGATGCCCATTGGTTAGTAAAAGCGAAGAAACCCTTGTCCACGTGGACTGCACTGCTATTAACAAATTCGCGCAAAATTGACTAATTGCCGAGAGGCTTGAAAAAATAATTGGCGTGAACAGTTCACATGAACTTGACATTTTCTATGCCCTAATGGAAATATTTTTCTGAAAATATAACAAAATTTTGCTGAAATGTATTTGAAAATTTCTCTCGATTGACCCCATTAATTAATTTTATAAATATTTCAGCAATTTTTCATTAAAAAGTAACAGTTTTCAGTTTAATTCAATAAATTTCATAATGATAATTATTTCAAAACTTTTATTACTTTTCAGCAGTATATTTTAACTTTCCTTATATTTCATAGTATTATATTAAATTTTCATACGGAAAATTATGATTTATTTTGAAATATGTTCAGTAATTTTTTAAAAACTTTTATTTTACTTTTCATTGATTTCATAGTATTTTCAACAAAATATTTCCATCGGGGTAATTTTTAAATTTTTGGCGATTGGTTAATTCGTGCGGATTCGGCACTAGATTAGTGAAGAAAATCCACGTGGATTAGGATTTCTTTGCTCTAATTAACTAATGTGCATCGAGCTTCCGATGTAAGATTCAATAACGTTACGCCTGATTACGTCGGTGAGTCACAGCTGCATGTCAATTACACGTGGACTCTTTATCGATTTCAATCCCGACAGATTGAGGACGGTGCGAAACTAAGTGTTCGATATGTTACTGCGTTTGATAATAAAGAAATTTCTTTCTGTAACGTTTTATAATCTTTCTACTGTTAACATTTTTTATTGTCTTATAAATGTGATTAGAGAAAATATTGTATAATTTTTATAATATATATATTGTAACATACATGCCAGATGTGTTATACGTCATCTAATATACATATAACAAACATATATTATAACGTTTGTACATAAATATTTTAATATATACAATAAGACGTTAATTAAATATTTTCAAGTACTTAAGATTGAAAAATGCAAGGAACAGCATGTTCTTTATATTGAAATTGGTGTTAATAATTTTATTAAATGAAACGTACGCGTATATCACGCAAAATAGTGAAAAATGTAAAAAAGTACTTTTACTATACTGTTTTATTTGTTGCTCAACATCCAAAGCATTATTCGAGAATTATCAAGTCTTTTATTCATTATCGTTCAATTTGCAGATACTAACTATGAAAATCTTTGGAAAATAGGTTTAGTTAAATCTCATATGCAATAATTATTAATAAATACATATTTTGCAAATTATAAGCAGCAAAGGGAATAAACTCCATGATTCTATTTTCCGCGCACTGCTCTGATACCATTGCGCAAACAGTGCTGAAACAAATTCCAAAATTCCTATTTTTACAAGATACACTTTGCACTTACATTGAATAATACTCGAAATCATTAGATAAATTTTTAATTTTAAACTAACCTTTGTCATCGCGGCTGGAAATCCAACCGATTACAGGCTGCATTTCATTTTGTCGTTTCAACCACGCGTTCAATGGCTCAAAATATTTAAGCATGGCACCAGCATCTATTCGATTCGTTTTACCTCGCGTCAATTGTCTGACAACATCTTGCCATGGTTTTAAAGCTCCCGTCGACAGAACATCTCTGTAAATGTGCAAAATATCGTTTCGCTGACAACCAAATTATGTTTAATAATTGTGATTTAAACAAAGTTTGCTAAACGTTACGTACGATAATAGCCGACCTGCTTCGCGCGATCTATAAAGATCGCAAGTATGTAACTCGCCGGTGTGACCGGAAATTTCACACAGTGACTGGAATAATTGGAACTGTAAGACGGCGCTTACAAAATACCTAAAGATTAGTAGAAGTATAAAACATGTTATTTGTATAAATATATTGTACAAATATTGTATAAATATATTATCTAACAGTAAATTATGTTTCTACTTTGCGTAAGGACTGTCCGCCGGGATGTGATACTTCGCTGCTGGATCGAAATTTCTTTCGGATCTAGATATGGGAGGAACAATGCCCTGATATTGTAATCTTAATTCCCACCAGCGTGCCGTCATATCTTGCACACCATCGCTGAAGACGCGCCATCTCCACTATTAAAGAAAATAAATGTATGCAATTTATTCTCTGCTATAAATATACACAATAATAATATTTTCATACGCAGGTTAAAAAGAAAGAACAACTGTAATGTAGGGATTATTATACATTAATCATTATTAATTATTTAACTATTTATTAGTCACCTGATCAACTATATAAGCGAACGGTATATAAGCCACTTTGCGAAGAGCTAATAGCATCAAAAAATTTATGTTACTCTCATAATCATCTGTTAAATTACTGTGCAATCCAATTTTGTGTAAATGCTGAGGAGTAAAAATCGATAAGCCAATTGCGTCACTGACAGCTTCCTTGAATCCTGATTAAAAAAGAATTGTTGATAAAATATGGAGTTTTATATAACATATTAAAACGATATACCTGGCATTGCTTCTTTTCGAAATAGTAGCGGATGATCCTTGTATTGTAAATAATATTGCAAATGCGCCATTTCGTAATGCGTCGACAGAAGATCTTCCATTGTAACTCTGGTACATTGTTTTATTCTATAAAAAAAATAACACGATGTAGACAATTATTAATTTTGTCAAAGAAATAAATTGAAAATATAAAAAAAATTAATAAAAAAACTGACCTATAATCGATTCTATTACAAAAATCCCACGCACTAGGAGTGCACTTGATTTCCCTGTCAATAGGTTTTTCAAAAATGGAGAACTTCCAAAATTCCGGAGGCATCGGCTTCATTCCGAGTGAAGTAAAAAATTCCTCTGCTATTTGAAACATCCTTTTCACCGTAAAAACATTCTTTCGTAACATTATTCACATTTTATGAGCTTGCGCAAGAGTATTTGTACGTTTGGAATATACCTCATTGGTGTGATATTCTGAATAATCATCTCCAAAGTCACATCGAGCTTTCTGCTCGCGGGGAAAGGCTGCACTAACTCGAACAGAGCTTCCCAATTTTGAGCCCACATATTTCCCAAAACATGCGCCGGTAGAGGCCCGTCCTCGCGTATTTTGTCATCGTATCTCTCAATCAGTTTCGATCGCACATAAGTAAATAGATTCTTATAGAGCGGAGTTACAGCTGACATCACTTGCGCTATATTTTGCTGGAAATGTTCGTCTTCGAACAGTTCTATCATCTGATCGCCAGCGTCAGCAAAACCTTCGGTAAGAAAACGTTTCGTCAATTTTGAACGTCATCTTAAAAAATATTTAAGATTAAATGAAATGTTATACTTTTCGTACCATTTGATTTAGCTGCTTGATTTGCCAATTGAACGTATCTTAAATATTTATTTATAAGTTGTGGACCGATTGCTTCGTGCCACGCGTGCCAGTAATGCAATAATTCATCATAGTCTTTTGACTGTGCCATTATTTTATTTATATCTGAAAATAATTTCAATATACTATATTAATTTTATGCTCTATTATTTTTTTATGTAATAGATTAGAAGACCAACCGTGATCTATATTCAAATTGCACTCAGTATCGATTTGTTTATACGAGCATACTTTGGCTTTAATGTAAATCTCTTTCATCTCGGCTATTAAGTGGTGTATCTAAAAATTAGAAGCGGTAATACGACGTAAACTATAATACAATTATAATTGAGATCGCAGATCGCGTTTATTTTATTTCCGCACTTATTTTTTCGACATTTAAATAAATGCGTTCACATTTATAACAATTAAGGAATTAAATAGCACCATTTCTCTCATGAGATATTTATCTACCTCATTGAACTTATCGTCGGTCAAGGAATTCCGACCTTTTGTAGCAATCATTTTAAGTTCCCGTCTTGCTAAAGGATCCGGTATTCGACTCCAAGCAAAAGTGATGGCTTTCCGCCAAGAAGCTCTTTCAAATTTTAATTTTAACGTTTGTTCATCCACCTAATAATTACACAAAATGTTATAAAAAATTTTTGCATTATTTTGTACTAATTAAGAAATTTACCATTTTCTGATGATTTACATCAGTAACATTTGTCGCGAAATTCCATTGCGCCATCATCACTCTCATGCACATTGACGAAGCTGCGCTGTCATACTCTCTGAGAAATAAAAGTGCGTCTCCCAAGTTCACGTTGAGACCCTTTGAATATATATAAAAAATATAATATATATATGAAAAAAAGAATATTTAGAAATCAATATATTACTCGAATCTCATTTGCGTCAGCATTATTTGTATTTATTACATTAAAAGCAAGTATTATAGTCGAATTAAGGATAATCGGAAGAATATTCCCAGTGACCCACATATTAGGCACAAATTACAATTGCAAGCAGAATTACAAGCTAATTACAATTCCAAATATATCTGTTAATTTACGTGTTTCAGAGAACAATAGCTGTAAATTCCCGAGCGTGACCGGAGATCTGATGAAGAAGTTGTAAACCAACTTGCAGTCTTACCTCCAAATATTTTCCATAGGTTTCATCTCGTAATAGAATAATAAAAAAAGTAATGAGATTTCGGATCCCTATTGTCGCCATTCTTTGTTGCAAATTTATCGCTGGACCAACAATTGACGTGAGAAACTTTGTTGCGCACGTTCCGAGATACTTTTCATTCTCAAGAAGCTTATCTTTTGCCGGCGCAAGTGGATAAGCACAATATTAATTTAAAGATGCGCAGATTAATGCTTATAAGTATGTTTGACTATTATTTAATTATTATTTATATTAATATACCATATTTTAAATTAAATGATAGAAATGTATCGTTTTGATAAATCGTTTTTGATAAATATATGCAACTCACATAAATAAAGTCTATGGCGTCCGCCAGCAAAATCGAAACAAAATTCGGATGACGTCACATGTCAAAACACTTTGGAAAACGATGAGTTATCGAATGCGACACATTTTCTAAATTTATAGACTTTATGTTAAACAATCGATCGCGCTGTTACTCGGCAACTGATTGCAGGACCAGCGGCTCGATGTTGTCGTCGCGGCAAAACTGAATCGTAGCAGAAAGAAAGACGGGCCTTTCCGGGACGGATATTCTATGGGCAAAAAGAGGAAGGGACAGGCACTATCGGTGCGTGAAGCGTGACCCGACGCATCGCGGCACACGCCAAAAATCTTTCTACATCGCTTTACCTTCGCAACTACTGAATTAAATATGTCACAGCACTTAATTGCAGTATAAACATTTTCTACGCTTCTACAATTTTTGTCATGCAAAAAGCAGCGCAATATCTTTTGTATTTTATTTTATTTCGAATTAAGTGGTTGTTGGTGAAACAAAAAGTACATTTTATGCAAAAAAATTTCACCGGAAAAAATATTTACCAAATGTGCAATGTTTTGTAATGCATTTTGTACGCAGCAAGGTGTGTAGTCGACAATGAGCTTCCTTCATTCTGTGGACAAATACCGTAACTTTAATTACGCCGTGGCATAATCAGTGACAGCACGACCGTAATTACTGTACAGACTTTTCTCTTACGTTTTCATGTGTGATCTCAAGTTTCGTGTTACTCTCAATAAAGAGCATAAAAATTAATTAAATAATAGATCATCATTCTACATATCATTGTTAAACAAATCCACTTTTTATAATAAAGTAAATATTTTAAAAATTTATTTACGCGAAATAAATATAATTCAAAATGTATAAATGTTAAAGTACATTTAGCGTAATTTCAAGTAAATTTATAATATAACTTTAACTGTTAAATAAAGTTGAAAAAAAACTTGTCACAATTTTTTAAATGTAAGGTCACGAAAGGAGTTGTAACTCGCCGCTCGTAGACATCTGCTCAGAACATTTCCTGCAACGGTAAATATATTTTCTACGGTAGAGAAGTGGACACACATTATATCTTTATGATTTCATCATCCACTATTATATGTATACAATTTATATTGCTGGTAAAATTCCGAATAAATATTTTGTTTTTTTTTTCTGAAAACGTAAGGATTCAAAGATTAGCAAAAATATTCTTAACAATAATGCGCAGCATTAACAATAATATTACTGCTCAGCGTCTTACAATTATTATCTGTTAGATTTTAACATTATTTGCTGAATCTTTCTCTGCCTACTTAATAGTTTGTGCATTCTACGCAATTGTTCAAGTTCCACGCGCATTTTTATAAAATCTATGACATCCGGAACCTACAATTATAATAACTGTTTATAAAAACTATAAGATGAAAGTTTCACCAGCACGATATAAAAATACAACATTATGTACCTCAAATTCATCTATTAACATTGTCATCGACTTAAGCTGTTCTCTCTCTTTCTCTATCTCGATCTTTAGAGCTGCTTGTTTCGATCGCAATTTTTTCATCTCCAGTTTTTTGGAGACGATCTGGTCTCTTACTTTGTTCATAGTAGATATTAAATCATCCAGTTTTCCTTTGTGCCTGGTTAATGCGATGCTGTAATGACCTGTGTCAAACGCAATGATTTACATATTGCGATATCGTCGGATATTTATTTCTTACCCGCGATTCTCTTCATTTGGAGCAGATACCGATTCTTCTCCTCGATTTTTTGCATGCAATCTTGATTTTCTATACCCAATTGTTCAAAGTCTATGGTGCGTAGAGCCTCGCCGAGTGCTTTCCTCTGCTCCAGCTGCATCCTGACTTTTCTTATCTGAGACTTTACGCTAGTCATTTTCAACTTAACGCGTTCTATTGCGGTGTTTGTTGCTTTCAACCATTCTTCCACAAACCTACACGCCAAACTCGCTTCTGTCGTCGTTATTTGTATGTCTACACTCAATGGATAAATTAATGTACAATCGTAAAATGTCTATCATAGCACCTGATGAATTTTTCAGCCGGTATTTTCCTCTTAATGCTTTTTTGCACCACGTTATTTTCAAATTCCTCCTTGATTTTGCAAATTTCGAGAATGCTAATCTCATTCTCTTCCACTTGCGCTCGTAAATATACTTTCTTCCTTTTCGACGTTTGTTCCAGATTTTTTAATATTTTCTGCAATTCTCGGATTTCGGTGTTCACCATTTCAATGCGATACGCGTAAGAGATTCTGCAATTCGATAATTAACCGAAATATCGATTGGAAACACACAGCAGTTACGAAAGTATAGCATGGGATTAACTTTGCTCCTCCTCTCGGCGCTTTGTCCATTAAAATACTTGGCGTGACGTATCGACTTCCTCTGGAATGGATGCTGCCGACGCTTACTACATCCTTGTCGTAAATATTCGCAAGACTTCCTCTTGTGCTTATAATGGGTGAAGCTGTGCGGTTGTATTGAGACGCGATTTTCTGCATGCGTTTAGCAGTTTCTAAGAGTTGCGCTATTGCTGAACAAAGTTTGTTAAAAAATCAGATTTATACTTTTACGAAAATTTTAATGCGACAATGCAAGGCTCACAGAAGAATTTGAAATAAATCCTGATTAAATAAAAGAATTACTTTGAAGACTGTCAGGCTCTTTGCGTGCAAGATATCGTTCAAAAACATCATTTTCTAATCTCAACAACAAATTTGAATCAGCAATATTCTCGAGTTCCTGTTGTAATTCTGCGTCTGTCATATCTAAAAGTCAATACATTGTTATGCGACTTTGTGATATAATTAAATTGCAGAAATGTCTTACCATCGAAACAAAATTCATCTCGTTTGGAGGTTAAACCTAAAGATCCGAAGCTAATGGTGCTTAGTGACATTTTTATCGTTTAAGTTTAATTTCTGGTATTAAAAAAGTTTTTTGCACTATTAAGAATATGTGTAATACGAAATACGTATTTAAAATTGTTTTGTACACTTCACGATTTTTACAATATGTCACGTGAATTGAGATATAAATTCCTTTCAGCTGAAGTAAGTAGAAATAATTTTGAATTTAAAGAGAGTTTTGTTCTGATGAAGAGACTTCAAATATAAAAAAGTTTATTAATTATTGAATTTTGAAAATTTATTACATTTATAGAATTACACTAAAAAAGAGATACACAAAATCGTGTGGCACATGTGTAAATAGTGACAAAATTGCATTATATTATATTACAATAACATTCTCAAAAAAAGTGTATTACACTTGTATAGTGATGCACTCGTATACACAATTTTTTATTAACGAAAATTTGTACTCATCAATTAAAGAAAAGTCTAGCTGTTAATAAATTGAGACACACAGTTAAGGCTCTTCAAACAGAGCTTCTTGTTGAATTTCAACATTATCAATGTATAATTCGTACACTATGCCGATGTCTTTTTGTTCTGAACTATGAGATCTGATCGAGGCTGGTAAATCGCCGACGGAGAAAAGAATTTCTGCACCGCCGTCCATGAATTCGTTCTATACATAAAAATAAAATACATTTATACATAAAAAAAGTTATTCAATTTGAGATAAGTTTACGTAACTAGGCAATTAAAATGTACACATGCCTGTGTTTGCGTGACTTAATAAAGTTTGAATAATATAAAAATACAATAATCAATAAAAATTTTTAATTTTATAATTACCTCAGCTTCGATTTCCTCTCCATTTATCCAAACGCTGTGAGTTTGCTTGTCTAAAAATGTTATAGAAAAGAAACTAAATGTTTTAACAAATACATATTAAGTTTATTTCTTTTTGTTAATTTTCTTTAATTAATTACCTAATACGATTCTATACTCTTCATTTCCAACTTTAGCCAACCAAGTCTCTAATACTTTTGATTGCGTCTGAACAAACTGCTTGTAACTTTTTCCGTTCACCCACAACGAGTATGAATATTTAAGACCTGTTTAATTGTGCATGCATGACATAATAGAATAATAAAGTATTTTTTCATAAGCAAAGATAAACTGATAGGTATTTACCTGGCATCGGATCAACTCTAATTACAAATTTAGTGTTATTGAACGTAAAAACTTCGTCACCGACTAGACGAAACATCCAATCCCTGTGAACTATTTCATTGTTATCGACTTTTACTGTACGCTTGCCTGTTGCTGTTCCATGTTCGAACTCCACAACGTGATTTCCGTCGCTCAAAGGGATGGTCCACTTCGCAGTGGGTTCATTTGCCGACGTTTCCAAATTATGAAGACTTCTGTAGAGATTTAAATAGAAAGACAAGTCTTTAATAAAACTTATAAATCAAATATATAAAGAAAACTATATAATAAAAATATAAAAACTAATCAATATATAATAGAATCACTAAATACATTATTATGTTTGTATAGCGATCGATATATTATTTTTAAAATTTATTAATTGAAATGAAAATATCTATACAATATTTAACATATATGTATAGGTATTGAAATAAGAAAACTATAGTGTGTTTAAATGAAATGTACACGTGCTAAATTAAGAAAATAATACGTTCTTTGTTGCTATAACAAGAACTGTTACTGTTCGCACACGCAAGTGTAAAGTTAGACCTTGACATTTATATTGTCTGTATATCGAAAGAAAGTAAAAACACCGATAATTACGAAAATAGATTAAAATAATTTATGTGTTACGTAATTCTTTGAGAATTAACTTTTTTTTTTAAGTCAAATTTATGAATTTTACTCACCGAAGTAGAATGCCTGCCATGCTTCTTCTGGCTACACCTGTACTGGCCTCGTTATTGATCGTTTCTTACTACGACTATCCTCCTAATCAATAATCGAGTAATTTTACGTCATATTACATAATACTGTTTCTTTAAATATGTTTTAGTGAGCCGTTTAATCTTCACATTTTTCATAATAAAATGCATTTATTAAAAATATGCAAAACAATATAAATAATTAATTATTTAATAATAAATAAATTATTTAATAATAAATAATTAATGCAAAATATTATTATCTCCATACAATATCTTAAAATAAAGAAACAGATTTTATTAAACTGTTGTTAATAAAGAATTAAAACAAATACAATAATAGAAAAATTTATTACATATTAAAAATCATATAACATATAAAAGAGAGTAAAATTTTTGTGAACACTTTTGACACATATTTGTATTTCATATAATAATTTTATTCGGTGTGGGCGGGTAACAATTTACCCGCGCATGATCCGAAACCGACTCTATATCCGTCACCGACGCAATAACCTGGAAAACATACTTGTAAATTTCTATGTAATTGTAGATGCGTAATAACTCAATTATTTGCTTACCGCGAATAGTTATTTCGTCATAATCTTGAAGAAATTTTCTTGTGGTACCATCTTTTAACGGAATGGTACGTGTGCCTTTCCAACATAATTCCAACATAGAACCATAAGAGTCCGAAGTCTAAAAAAAAATCTTATATTATTACGACAGAATCATATAATTAGCATTTTAGAAAAGATACATTTTTTGAAAATGTAAGTAACAAATAAAAATTAGATATATGAACAATAATTATTAAAAGAAATTGATAGAAAAATTTACACTAACAATTATTAATAAATAACGAATAAATCATTTAAATAAAAGGCAAGTTCTGAACATACCTCTCCACTTATAGTGCCGGAACCCATTAAATCACCAGGATTAATGTTGCACCCAGTCACAGTATGATGCGCTAATTGTTGCTGCGGAGTCCAGTACATGTATTTAAAATTGCTCCGGCATATAGTTGTTACTACACCACTTTTAGCTGTAAAAATAAAATTGCATTTAATTGAAGGCATTTATAATAAAAATAATAGCAATGTAGGTAAAATACTAAAAAATGATATAAAAATATGAACTTACGTTTAAGATCAACTTCCAATTTAATATCGAAATTACAAGATTTATCATGTTGCAAATACGGAAATGGTGTTGGATCTTGAGTCATGTTGGGTACCTTGAAGGGCTCGAGAGCTTCCATCGTAATAACCCATGGAGAAATTGTAGTTCCTACATTCTTTGAACCAAACGGACCCAATGGAACGTATTCCCACTTCTGGATATCTCGCGCTGTAAAATAATTAAAAATACATCGTTAAAAGCACACTTAAAACGCGCACAAAATTATTTTTTTTAATTGTATCTTACCACTCCAATCATTCATCAAGACCATTCCAAAGATATGATCGTAAGCCTTCGAAGCTGGAACGGTATCACCAAGATTCGTAGGTGGTCCACCAACGAAGAAAGCAGCCTCGAGTTCAAAATCCATTAATCTGCAAGGCCCGAAATGCGGCTCCGCGCCTTCGATCGGAAGTGTCTGACCACGTGGTCGTCTTATGGACGTGCCTGACACAACAACGGAACTTGCTCTTCCGTGATAACCGATCGGCAAGTATTTCCTACGTGCATAATTAATTTATTTTAACGCCTTTTAAAATACAAAAACATAACAATCTATTAGAAAAATTACCAATTCGCCGGTAGCGCGTTTTCTTTCCCACGGAACATGATGCCGACGTTTGTAGCATGATTGAGAGATGAGTAAAAGTCCGTGTAGTCGCCAATTTTTGCCGGCAAATGCATCGTAGCATTCTTCTGTGCGACGAAGACTCTAAAATAAATATCAGAAGAAATTATAATAAGAGTTCTCAAAATTTAAATTTACATCAATTTTTATCGATTAATTTTATTGATTAATTCTTACTTTGAACAAACTTCCGCATCTTGTAAAGTAGCATTGCTATTGGAAAGCAGAATTTGAAGTTTCGATCTTGCTTCTAGCCATGCTGGTCTTCCCAAAGACATAAAATCATTCAAGCAATCACGACGGAATACATCTTGTTTATTTTTTAACAGTGGACCATCGAAATGATTCGCGATAGCGCTCAAGTCCAAAATTTCGTCACCAATCGCCACGCCTATCCTTTTTTCTGGCTAAAATACATTTTATTATATTATTTTTTACGTTTATATTTATTATATATTAAAATAAATAAATAAAATTATTAAAACTTTTGCATTTTAATAATAAATCTAATCAATGTGGGAACTTTTTTATATCAGAAATTAATATAATTTATTGCAATTTGTGACAATAAGAGTAAAATGTCTCTGAAGTTATCGAGTGATAGTAATGTATCAACCGATGGTAGCATAAAGAAAAAGAAGAAACTACTTGTCATGAAACGGTGTTGAGCATGAACATCTATGAAAAGAATTTATTCTATGCTATAAATATTGCGTCATACAGAAATGTATGATTTGTATCTTATATTCGATTATACATAATTTTTATGACATTCTTAAAAATATTGTAAAAATGTCAACGTAAAATATTCTATTCTATTCTTTATCACGATTGAATATAACTTAAATTTTCTGAACTGTAATAAAGTTAGCATTACTGTAGCGTCACATGACACGGCGTGATTTGTAAATAATCTATAATATAATCCGGTCTTGCTTACCTTATCTTCTGTAGAGAAGACTCCGTACGGCAAATTCTCAATCGGAAAATCGCAATCCGCCGAGTAGTTGATGAAGGTCTTCATAGTCACAGCGTTTACGAACGACTCTGGAGTCACTGTGTGTTGCGTACGCGATACGGTATCTCTTCGTCGTGGGCTCGCCAAGGTCTACCAACCAAGTTTAATTTATACACCTGTTTACGCCGGCGAGCTTCCGGTTTAACTAGTTCCACGCATTATAAATGTAACGAAAACAGTTTTATCGGCTGTTTGCTTGAATATTGATTACTCAAGCTCGTCAGACAAATACGATAAAAGCAGAATGATTATCTTTGCGTAATATAATATGTCACAGTTTATTCGCGCTCTTTTTAATAAACAAATTCTTAAAATAAATTTTTTTCTAACAGAAACGTTGCAATAATTATTTTTGAATTATAATAAGAATTTTTATATACGAAATTTGTTTTACTTTTTTTTTATTAAATATTTTATTTTATACGGAAAAGAAAATTAATTTTTAAAAGAAAGCAGAAATAAAAGATTTATGTAAATTACATATTGACGATTTGGGATAACAGCAGTTTATTAGACATTGATATACAGTGGATAATAAGGGCAATTAGGTGAGTAGGTGATATTCGAACAACGTGGTTACATGTCAGCAATCATCCCTACATCGCCGCATACTCTCGACTTTCACTTCTCTTTCACATATTAACGGAGTTTTACGCACACGCTTGTACATATATATATTTTTCTCTATGTATATATATAAATGTATTTCTCTCATTGCATAGTATACGTATAGTATACAAGGACAGCTTTCTCCTCGAAGGTGTTTCGAGGCTCTCTCGCTAAACGCTAATCGATACTCTCATCGTTTGGAAGACATGGGACTTTGTTGCTTGCCTTGCTTCGTTACCAACTTAGACTAATAATTAGACTAATAATTAATGATAATGAGATGAAGTACTTCCAAGACGAAGCAATAATCCGCTAGTGAAGGAACTCAGTTATATCAATTGCGTTATACAATTAATGAGACGCTTATCAGAGAGCGATGAGATTTTAGCTCGTTAACACAATTGAAGTAAAATGTTTACTCGGTTACGTACATGCGTATTTCTCGTCGATGTAGACTGTCGAAGAAAGTAAAAGTAAAGCACAGTGCGTTAAAGATGCGAGAAGGTGTCGAAGCTCAAATACAAACAGTGCAATGCGGTGCAATAGATATTATGCGGGTGGATTGCATTAAAAGAGTGCATTATACAGAAATACAAATTGTGCAATATATCTTTAGAAATGTGCATGATATGTACTTAGATATGTGCTACGTGCATAATATTTTATACAAGAATAAAATATAAAGCTCTCACGCCGGGGAAACTTTATATTTAATTCAATAGTTAACAATATGTAAAATATTCACATTAAAATGGCATTTTATATACAAATCTTTATCATATTTGATTACCTACATAATTCACTGATTATCTACGTCAAAATTAAGATAGCCTTTGCGTTTTTAAATTATAATTATCCAAATAGTATAATATTTCTAATAAGTCAATTCTCCAATATTGCTATATTAATGCTATTGATAATATCAGTTAATTGTATAAATACAAAGTTATATCCTATATGCCGGGGAAAAAATATGGCGCTGAACGTATAATATATCTACTACGCAAATTAAACAATGCGGAGTCTACAGGGACGAGTATACTTTTCATACAAATATATCACTCTTTCCTTAAAAATGATCAGTTACATGAGAATCAGTAAGAAGTGTGTAAGTACGAGAGAGATTCGTTTATATGAGTAGCATTGATCGCTATGTCGGCAGTGCCAACAACTATGACTAAAAAAACTCGCAACGCCGATAGAATTATGAATAATAATTAACAACAGTTCGATAAAGTGCCTCTTTGCAGGTATCGGTTTGCTGGTCAGATGAATCGTTTAATTCATTTTCCTCTCAAAAAATACATTTTGTCCCCCCTTTGGCGCATAGTGATTATAGATGATCTGTTTGAACTCTGAATCAATAAATACAACCCAATCTCTCAGATAACGCTTTGCAAATTGCGCAGATCGCTCAAAAGCTGCTTTATCAAAACTGATATTTTTCCACGTGATTGCGTAATAAGATTATTTTGAAAAACAGATATTTTTACTTAAAAGAAGATAGCAATTAAACTTTTTATTACAGCTTTTTATATAAAAATACGAATAAAAAATGATATATTTTAAGAAAAAGAGTAATTTTCCAAAACGTGAACATAATTTAAAAGCACTTTCCTCTTTTCTCTAAATTATGTTTTCTCTTTCTAATCTCTATCTTATTGATACAGAGTTCAGCATATAACGCACTTTATATTTTATACTACATACGTTTTATAGAATTGACACATCGCCCGCTATAATCCGTCAGCCAAGCGCAGTCATTTAAATACGTACAGTTAACATCTTTGGCATTAAATTACATGTACCAGGATATCGCTATTTTAATTAATCCCGCATTTTAATTTAATCTCGCCACTAATTGCAGCTCCTCGCCTAAATGTGTTCGCCTAACACGACGGCACGGCTGTCGTCGAGAAAAGAAACGCGCGGTGGAATTTCCAAGTTGTACATAAATACACTTATATTTTTCGTATTGTTACACCTAAATATTTTATATCACTTACGCGTTAAATAATCCTTTTTCTTTCATTACTTCGTACTGGCGAGTGAGTCGAAATCTAGAATCGTTCGATTGTAAGTGTCATCGAACAGATCGAAATGTCATTCACAAAGAGAAATTCACTGTGTAATACACATTATAGAATTATTTGTGTGTTGTAAAATGATGATTACAAATGATTGAGAAAAGATATATCAATCAACGTATAAAGAAATGAGAGAAAATTATATACCGATCAAAAGATGATATTTCTTCCCTAAAGGATTGACATGCGATCTATAACATTGAAAATAATTGTTGCAACAATTTACTGATGGCGATGCAACCATTACTTTCAGTAACGTGTTAACAGTGCTCGAAAAATGATAGATTTTTATAACAGAATCGACGAACTAAATGACAACCGTTCGCACGAATATTTGAAAAAGCATGTACTTTCATGGGTTTGTGTTTTGTATTCTTAAAATCTCAACACTAAATATATAATATATGCTTTGATATTTATATATTTATACTTCTTTTGTATATATATCTATATATTAAATAGTACTCTCCGTTCGATTAAAACTGTTTAACAGTAAATTATAATATAGATATATTTTTGTATATATAATGGATGCGGTCCATCTCGTAACGTTGTCTTCGCAAACAGTGTCGATAAATTATAAACTTCAATCAATACTCCAACAGAATAATGCATAGCATTAAATCTATTTTCTATTATGTAAAGTGATGTCATTTATTCTATCTATATAATGCCGCGGCGATAGAAGTTGTCTATTCCGCAACTATTGGCTGACGATTCGTTGCAACTTGTACAACGAGGACAGAACAACGCTTAAGCTCAGACAGAATAGCCATAGCTTACAATTTTTGTCCTAAATAAATTTCTACACCATCCAAAAATGGCAATTGTGTGTATACGTGCCTTCGTTCTAATGTGTTAAGAATAAACTATAAATTTTGATTAAATCGCAATAAAATCTTAGCTTTGCATAATTTCAAACAATCTTGTAACAAACAATTTCAGTTTAACTAATTGAAAAATTCAAACAACAGAAGTTTTCAAATATTTAATCAATTAGACAAGAAGGAAGGCTGGTAAAAAAGCTGCAATAAGCAGTGCCTAAAATCTTATTGAATAAACTATACAAAAGTTTTCAACAAATGCTAACGAATCAAACAATTAATACAACATATTTACGAATATAATCTTAACGTGAACAAATTCATTCATAAATTTAAAGAATTACTTGTAAATTGATATTTATAAATCTTTAAAAATCAATTTCACACGTTATTCAAAATAGTATGTTAACGCTAATTCGTAAAGTATTAAGTTTGAATAACGTTATTTTTCGCAATTCACGTTTCGAGATGAAAGATTCTATTCAAATGTCTCATTTGGAAAGCGAATGTACACTATTATTGTTTCGCTTTACGGAAAAATTGGTTTTATCACTGTGAATATTACTACGCGTCGAGCAAAAAATAAGAAATCTGCATAGCTTACGGCCGGAAGCATTTCTTTAATTTGTAACTCTTGACTCTTCGTTTCTTGGATATGCCGTGTATTTCGTTTAAATCTAAAAACTTATGTACTACGAATATCTTTCAATATTTTCTCTGACTGTTGCCGTAAACTAGTCGCAATGTAAAGAAGCATTAATCTATACATTAATCATTCGTTAAAGCCATCGCTTTTTTCCCGTCCATTAATGAGATTTATGCCAAATTAAATAATTCTTCTATTGTACGCTAATTAACGGTTATAGTACTATGATATAGATTTCAGCATATTACGATAAATAAATGTGTATGGTCAAATGCATACATTGATCTGAAAAATACTACGAAAAATTATTGGGTATTCCCAATATAAAATAAAATGTTCGATTAATTATAAATTGATGTTATTCGCCATCGATATACTTTTACAATCAACAGAGAATAAAATTAATAACAATAATATATAATTTTTTCATTACAGAAGATTAATATCACTTTTCAAAAAATGAAAATACAACAAAATCAGTGATATGTTAAATATTTGTTTTCTCTTATTGCAACATTTAGACCACACAAATCTTCATGTGTTACATTGTACGTTCATATTGATTTTGAATTTTTTGTCTGAGCTTTAAATTTATTGGATACGCTTTTTGTTTATAGAACGTATCGCGAAAGTATATGCCCAGATAATTAATATGACGGCGGATGTAATTTTGCCAAGGAAATTTTCAGTCATCTAATCATTGCATATCGTACGGTTAATGCCTACGTTTGGACAGATTTCTTACAAGTCGTGACCCAATCGATCCATCTCGGCTAAGAGGAAATCGATGTCCGCTTCCGTCACGGCGGCGCTAGAAATGATATTTCTGAAGAAGTTGGGTCGTCGATCGTCCGGCTGATAACCAACCATCAGCGTACCAGACTGCATCATGCGACCCTTCAGAATTGGGCAGATCTGGCGACATAAGTAGAAACAGATAATTCTTTTATTCCTATTCTTCTGTAAGGAACATTTCTGAAGTTCTATTGTGCTGTGAATTCTTATTAGACATTGTATATATTTGTGTCTTTATTTCATCAGAACGCACCTCGCCCAAGATTTTTATTCTTTCCGCGGTGTGTGGCATGTTTCGCACGCGCGTCGGCAGATACCAGAAGCAGACGTTCACCAATTCGGGCTCGAGGATCAAGTAGTACTTGTCGGGCATTTGTTTAATTCTCCTGACCATGTACTCCGTTAATTCCATCAATCGATCCATATGCTTCTCGAAGCCCTCTGAGCCCTGATAATAAAAATAAAAAATTTTATTCCAGTCGTTTGCGAATCGTCATAAAAGTACAGCCATACATGTCACTCGGAAGAATACAGAGTCGCGAAGGCACAAAGCCGGTTTTCCGCAACAATATAGCGGATTTTATACCTTGGCGCGCCATTGCAGCCAAAGCTTGAAAATGTCATTGTGACGTCCGCATTGAATGACCTTATCGCCAGTGTCGTATCTCACGTCGTATAGCTTGTCCGTCATAAACAGGTATTCCGCGGACATTTGGTTACAGCTGATCAGCAGCCCCTGCAAAATGGAAACAGCTCTCGCTTTCAAAACCGGTGAGAGACGGACGCGTCAGCGTTTTTTTCCGATAACAGAGCGTTTCCAGAATTGTTTTGCGTGGTTTTCGATTGACAGGCGTCGGAGGAGGGAAGAGGGCGAGCCCGTCCGGATCGATACGATGCTTCAACACATGCGCGCAAGGAGGAAAATCCAGGATATTGAATTTACAAAATGGTGGCTGTGCCGCACCAACATTGTAGACCATTACTGGCAATTTTAGATTATTCCTTCAACTCAAAATACGCTCTTTCAAAGTTTGGCATTTACAAAATTTTACATATAAAGATAGATATTAAATTATATTAACAAATATTCTCTCTGTATTTCAAGCTGAAGAATAGATTTTTTACAGTTTAATTTTTGTTTATACATTTTTCTTACTGTTTCAATTTTTTCAATCAAAAAGAAATAAGATTTAACCACACATTATACATGATTATTGGATAGAAATTAACTTTTGCGACGTATATTATAATTTCCGATATTTAGACAAATATTAGATAAAGTAATGGGATTAACGTTACTGTTAACGAAGCGTTTCTTCGGCGCCGCTCTTCAACGTCAACAGCAACGCGGCCCGACAAAAGCACGGCGCGTTCTCCCCCCCGGATATCTCGCGGCAGCCGGTGCACGGAATTTTAATATCCGAAGGGGAAGTTCGGAGTTAGCAATAACTGAGTTGCGTGGGGGGATGGACCCTCCCCGTCAGCGCGTTGTAAGCGGACGGTAACATATGTTATCTCTTAGTTTAATTAAATTCCTGTAGTGCCGCGCGCCCCGGCACGTAGGTCTACCCCACGGAATGCGGCTAATGTTGTGTCGTTGCCCTTGCGCGATGTAGGAATTTCGGTGCGAAACAGACAGCGGATTTCGGAAAAGTGCAACGTCTTGTGCATGTCGCGAATGCAAACAACGTTTGTTCGCGGATACTTTTTATCCGAGGTTCATACTTTTAATATTCTGGTCGCGCCAGACTGAACGCTGAAATGCCAGAGCTCGGAATGTAAATTAAATGTTTTGTGCAAAAGAAATGTTGCTTGATGAGACATTTCTAAATTATCTCGTAATAATTATGCTTGTAATTTATAGATTCTCTTATGCTGAGTACACTAATTGATCAAGTTTATAGTGTCGTAACTTACGTCTTCCTTAAAGTGAATACTGGAACATTGAAGCAGAGCTCCCATAAGTTTATGAGGATTCCATGTCACCGAGTCAGCCCTAAAAATCAAATATTGTGAACATTTTGTAATAATATTATAATAATATTTCAATTTATTCTTTTAGAGTCAATTTTTATAACGCCTTCATTATACATGTGGCAATATTGAAAAAATTTCATTTTAGTTCCCTTTCTCGCGAGATTGAAATTTCGCCTGTGATAACAAGTATGTCAAATAAGCTATACATTTTGCGGATAGTGCGGAAAAATTATTCCCCCTCCCGCCTTATCTGCAACCTGTCGAAGCGAGCCGCACTGACTGAAAAAGCCAGCCGACCTCAGCTGGTCGTCAAACTCTTATCCACTCCCACGGGAACCAATAGGGGATAAAATATGAGTTATCTTCCCGCCGTGCCGCGGATGGGGGTCTATCAATTCGAGAGAAGAGCTATTAATATAGCCACGAGACCGGATTTAACCCCCTGGTCCTCTGGGACCCACTCCGGCGGTAAAAACCTCTAACTCTTCTTAATCCTTGAAAAAGCATTGTAAAATGTGAGAGTCCGCGCTTGCATTCCTCTAAATTCCAGGTGCATTTTAAGTATTTTAGCTATTAATAATGCAAATTACAGCGAAAAATAAACTTAACAAATAAAATAAAATTAAGCAAGTGGCACTTAAATGTATCCGGCGCAATCACGGACTTGAGGAAAAATTGAAAATATAACACGCAATTACAGTAAATTCTTTAATTATAAAGCTCGGCTTTAAGTATCTACATATGCCGCGTGCTGTATGATAAACGTTTGATACTTGGCAGTGACATGTTTATCGCGACACTGGTCCCTCGCGCTGGTTGAACGTCCTGTGGATGATACGAGGGTACTCTTGAAGCACCCTTGAAACACGATTCGTGTCGTTAGCAGATACTGTCTATTATTCACTTGTGTGCATCCTCCTCCGCGTTGCAGATCGGCACACTTCTTCAGATTTCAATGGATTTTATGTGACATTTCTTTTTTTTTTACTATCTTATATTATTTAAGGCATTTTTTATTTTAATCCTCTTGTTAATTGACAGAATAATATCTAGAGAAAATTTTCATAACTATTAATTTCAATATATAAAATTTAGCGAGCAACATATGGATCTTGTGAAACAATTCTCTGCATAAAATTTATGAATAATTATTCAAGAATCAGATCGGAAGTGTTCTTCGTAGAAGATGCATAGGTTGCACTTGAAAAGCGTATAAAACTCGAGTGATTAATGCGATTCGCAGCTGGAGCTGGCGCGCGCGGCACCCTTCTGTTCGCTTTTAAATTCGTCGAAAGTGCCAACCCCAAAAGCCGCGCGATATATATTACAGGGGATGTTAATTACCCGCACCCTTAAGCGTGATACGCGCGAAAGTTCTACGTTTGGTAATGCGAACTTTACGCTTCTGACTCGTTAATGATCAAAAGAAGATGTTGGTAGAAGTTAATCCTCATCGGCACACTGCACGTCCTCGTAACGCGGGAAGCAAGGATGGAAGGTCCTGCGAAAATTCAAGTCTCACAGAGTTTACAAGATATTTCTGTAATGATAAGTATGAAATGACAATTAGTCAGCCTCGGGAGATTAATGGCAAGCGAGAAACTTGTAATTAGGAACTTGGAGCTGACTTAGAGAAAGTTGGACGGGTGGTCCGATCTCTGTTCTCTTAACAAATGACTTTACAATGTACACACCAAACTTTAGGTGCACCTTGCCCTTTCGAGTGCGAGAGCACTTCAACTTTATTGAGAAGGTGAAATCACAGAATTCTTTCTCGATTTCTGCGCAATCCGGGACGGCGATGCGAGGGTGGCAGGGAGGAAAGAGGACCAGTGAATGAGGGAGGCAGTTCCCTTTGTACGAGTTTAATCCAGCATTGTCAAGGCACCGGCTTTTATTTCAGCCTTGCGGAGGAGAGCACGACGGTGGCACCGCGGCGCGTCGATATAAGAGGAGAGTTCTGTTCTGCAAATGTGCTCCAGGGAACTGATCCAGCTGTTGCTCGCGCGTCGGATCTTTCTCTGTGCGCCGTTCGTTTGCCATTTTAATCAAGACTTACAGGAAGGAAGTTTCCGTCGCGGTACAGTCCGCGTAAAAAATCGCGAACAAGCGTCAACTGCAATTAGCGCGATGTGGGACAGAATCATTCGCAATTGTGATAATTTTGAAACTGATTTTAAACATTCTCAATATTAAAAAAGTTTTGTGAAACAAATAAAAAATAAAAAACGCTTTCGCGATATAAAACTTGTCACATTTTTTGGAAATCTTACTTTTTCTCGTATTCTTCTATTTTATCGTTGTCATCTATTATAGACATTATTGCATCTAAACAGAATTTCTTATCAGTATTCTGAAAATATTGCGGAAGGTCAAATTACTGTGACTTTTTGTACGTAAATCATTCCCGAGAGACTTCTCGCAGCGATTTTTCGGGTCAGGGATTGTCTGTTGTTGAATCGAGGGAGCAGATGCGTCTGGATGCAAATCGTGGATTAATCTCGCCAACCCCATGCATGCCTCGTCCATACGTCCTGACCCCTATCGCAGTTCGGAGGGTTCCGTCGGTTTCGCGTATCCATAGATATCCAAAGATATACAAGATGAATCACAAAGTCGCACACTTTCTTGCGAATACAAATTTTTCATGGAATCTAAAGTTGATTTTCTTCGTTAAAAAATTTAATTAATGCCCTTTTCAATTTTCAACATTAAGTTTAAAGTAAAATTTCTCTTAAAAATATTTTTAACTGCGTATAATGCAAAAGTATATGTTTCATCATTTTTCAACGATTATTTAATTTTCTCGTATATTGACAACGTTATTGCTGATGCAAACAATCAATTTGGGGCAATCTGGCACTATAAACCCCCCCGTCGCATCCTAATCGCGGTTTATGCGAGCAATACATTACGAGCTGACTGCCTCCGACTATTCTCATGTAAAATCATTTTCAACGCCCGAGGTTCGAATCACAGCTTCGAAAGGGGCGTATTGATTTTCGCCCACACATATACAATATATACATCAGGTTGGAGGCGTCTTTCAAAGAAGTCCATCATAACTAAACCCAACTAAGCCCCAATAAACTATAAAATTTGTGGACTGAATCTTCCCTGCGTCGAACACAGTACGTGCGTGGTATTCAAAATGAATCACGGGCGCCTAAAGGGCGTTGCGTACAATAATTATTGACAACATTTCTTTCTTATCGCGACTGAAAAATATTTCTTTCTTCGAAAGACAAATGAAAATAAATTTCAATATTTAAATTAACGCTCACCGTTCGATGCCAGTCATTCTCGGATGTCTATATTTTCTCGACAGAAGCAGTCCACCACCCCAAGCCGCCTGAAGCAAAGACAGAGAATATAATATTCAATGAACGGAACGCGACTAATTAACTGGAAAGATATATGAGCGAGCAAAATGCGAAATTCTGTTAAGCACTTCTTAATCTCTGACTTATAGATCCGGTGTTTCCCGAGTTTCCCTGCAGTTTCCCTGTGAGTGTCGCACTGGCAGAACTCCTGCCGCTTCTCACATTTATTATTTATGTTAAAGCTCTTACGCGTTTGGCATTTACAGCTTAAATCGTGTTTGGATTGATCTGATTGCATAAGCGCATCTGGCTTGAAATGGATTTCACTACTTAAGCAAGCATTTCTTAAAGTTATCGATACTTAATATCTTTGCGTTATTTGTTATATTTGTCTTTTCGTAAATCACTCATTGGATTGATCGAAACAAATAAATAAGATAAATATATATTATATGTCTCCGTATTACTTACGTCGACATGCAACCAGAGCTTGTACTTTTGGCAGATATCAGCAATTTCCTGGATCGGATCGAATGCACCGATAACCGTTGTTCCCGCAGTGGCGTTGACGAAGAACGGTATGTGACCTTTGGCCTTGCGCTCCAGAATTGATTCCTCCAGCTTCGATGGAATGATGCGACCGCGCTCGTCGCTAGGCACCATCACGCAGTTATCCGTCCCAAGCCCGCAGACGGAAGCGCATGATTTCACGGAATAATGGCACTGTGAGCATTAATAATTCACACTAGTGATAAACAAGCTAATCAGCTTTGTTTGCTTCTGATGAAAGCGCATTTAATTAAATAAAACTTGCATTTAATAAAAATCAAAAATTTACAAATATGTTATTTGAGAATATTTGAGTAATAATTTTTTTCGCACAACAATTTAATTACACAAAATAAATTATTTATAATTGTTCTGAATAATTTCTATAATTTAAATTTTATTTAATATGAAAGAGCAAAATAAAAGCACACTAGTTTCGCTACACGTTTCGTTCCAAGCATACCTGATCGGACGTAAACATCACCAGCTGTCCTCCGATGGCAGAGAGTCCTTTTTCTTTATAATACGGAAACATCTTGTGCCTAGCGGCGAGAAAGGCGTAAAGATTACTGATAGATCCTCCCGGAGCGAGGATGGAATCGCCACAATTCCAGCCTATAAGTTCGCGCATCTTTTGCAGGACGACATGCTCCATCAGAATAAAAACGGGAGCAATTTCGTAGGTAAACATGTTTGTGTTTGCTGTCGCAGTTAGCCACTCGCCGGCCATGGACACTAAATCGAGGCCGCATGATAGCTGATTAAAGAAATGCGGATGTCCTAGAAACAAGATAAAAAAAAAATGTTCTCAAGCAATCACACATTCCGATCGTATTTAATTACCGATTTAGCAAAAATCTCGCGTAAGTGCGTATCCTTGTTGGAAATTATGCGAAGACCGCGAGAAATTAATTACTACGTCACTGATAAATCACTCTGTCAGTCGCGGCTGCAGTGATTGTTGACAACTGACTCTTAATAGCGAAGTAATTAATAACGCTGACACGGCACGTGTCCGAGTATTATTACGGCTACACACGCGCGCGCCTTGTATGACGCGTAGCACGAAGGCGCACTAGAGAAAAGGCGGCAAGAGAGCTTTAAGCTCTTCCCGAGTACGTTGTCATCCGCTCGAGTGAACATCGCGCGAGGATCAGGCCTAATGCTTCTGTTCGATGGGAGCCCAGCCTTCTGATGCAGCTAGGGGAGCTAGTACTTTATTTTCTCTCTCTCTCTGACATAAATGCGTAGCTATGTCAGCCTTCTAATCCGCTATTTGCGCTACGCATTATACGCATTTAATTTAAATCAATGAAACATTCGAAAGAAGAGCGAAGAAATTGTAAAATATAAAAGAAAGAGTGATTATTGAAATTTTAGGAGAATATTTTCGTACATTTTCTCTCATGTATTACACAAAAACTGTCAACAAAACAAACATCATATAACGCCGCATCAACACTCGCGCGTGACTCACGAATTTCGTGAAATATAAGAAATCTAATACAGAAGGAGACAGAAACCTAGAAAAGAAAAGGAAGATCGCTACGAAATTCGCGAGTCGCAGGCGAATGTGTAAGGCGGCGTAAAAAAAAACCTTACAAGTGCTATCACCTTTCAGAATAGCATAGATCTTTTGATCCTTGAAATATGATGGATTCACTTCATTGAATATCCGTTGTCGAAAAGACTTTGACCCTTGTGTGTCCGATAATCTCACGCTTCTCTGCGCGCAAATTCACGCACGCTGACATATCAAAGATATCGCACGAATGAAATAAGTTAGAAAATTTCAGTCCACAGACAGATATATAATTCAAGTACCTAATAATTAATTTACACATTAAATACAATGTTTAGTTTTTGTACAGATATTTTTCTATAGAAACGTTATTTTAATTTTACGACAAGTCGTATTAAATAGAGTTGCGCTATTTGTTCGATGGCAAAGTGCGTTTTAATCTTCTGGTTTTAGATAATGATTGACACATGGCAACGATCTCCGCGAAGTACGGATATTCCCCTTCGCCGACGGCTATTCTAAGCCTGGGATTTACCGCGTGGCAAAGTCGAACCGACGTTAAAGGTCTAGAAGGATAATCTCCGATTCCCGTCAGAGTTCTCATGAGCGCGAATTACGTGTTTCCATTAAAGGGATTCCTTTAATGACCAACAATAACATTTAATGTTCTTTAACAAGAATATTCGTTAGCAACAAATGTTCTTGAACGAAAGTTTTCATCGCTGTAAATGTTACACGATATTGTAGCGTTCATTAAATACATTTTTCATAAATATTTTGTGTAACCTTTAATGTAAGCGATTTTTAAAATATTTCTTTCGTTTGAAAATTTATATTGACGGCAAACTCGTTGCAAACTTTTCTTTACGTTCTTGAGAGAGATTTCAACCGTTTCGGAAGTTTTCATAAATAGCTAGATAAACCATCGACTGACGCGGGTATCAATGGTTCGACACGAAAATCATCTCTGACGTGATATCAGACAGTGGCATTTGAGCCGTTTGTCGTACTGTTATTCGCAATTATCTCGGTCTGCGGATCGTGGCACGCGTCCGGTCGAAGGGTGTGCGAGAAGACGGCTTTCTCTCTTTTTCCAGCCCGGCTAGAGCGACAGAATCGCGCTGCGACCAAGGGTGGAGCAGGATTCGATGGTCCGAAGCGCCCGCATTTTGCGCGTCACACGCGTCGCTGCTCGACTAGATTGTTTGCAGAGGCTCTCAAACGGCTGTACGTGTATACCGTTCAGGAAAAACAAACACGTGCGGCCAACTGGTGCAAGATAAGCCGCTTTGCATTATGCAGATTCGTGTCGCGAGTACAGAGTCGCGCGAGTATTCTTGGCGTTCTCTTTTGGAAGCTGCGTTAAATTTACCGTGTTCACGTCTCATGTTATTAGCTGATAGTTACTTCTTTTTCGTACTTGTAATTTCTGTATTGTATATAATTGTTGGATATATAAAAATAAGCAATTTGCCTTGTAAAACAAAATAAACCGATTGACATAGATTTAAGAATACATTAATTTAAAGAAGAAAGTCATAACTCTTTAAAATTCTAACATTTTTAACAATGCTTTGTCGGCAAAAGATTGCAATTTATAAGTAGAATGTTGATTTTGCTCAAACATGACAAAAAATAAAATATTTTTTTAACAATTATTTTGTCACATAATTTCGGAGTCTTCTTTTGCAATCAGATCTTTGTCGTTAGTTACGTTTAGACAGAATTCCGATTTTTATTTGCAATACAGTAAATGATTTGTCTCAACCGCCAAACGTTTTTCGGTAGCGATTACAGTATCCTGGGAATCATTTTCCGACTAATTTGCTTCTACCCTTGCACGGTCGGGAGAAAGAAAGAATGCAAGGAGAACCTGCTTCGAGCAGGCCGCGATGATATATTATAGCGCTCGGGATTTGTATGGAGCAAAGTGTGTAACTCGGGCTTAACATTAATGCCATGCGATCAATCATATCGCTCATAAAGAAAGAAACATTGTGCCTGGCATAGCTGTAATATTTTTCTTATAAAGAATCTTACAAAATATATAGCGCAGCAATATGCAACTTTTAAAATATATTGTGAAAGTTCCAAGTAATCCGCATTTCATTGCTGTATTCCTCGAAGATATCGACACGCGCGCAAACTCTATAGATATTTAATATTTGTACACTTTAAAATCTCGAAGGAAACAAATATTACTGCAGCAATGAGTTTTTAACAAGGATTTATCTCCTTGCAATCAGTAACGTACGAAGCCGAGTGCAACGTACCTTCATCCCGACAAGCGAACAAATGCATTACATGTTTTAAGCGTCTGGTATGTTCGATCTTTTTGAACGGAAACTATTATCGCGCAAATACCTCCCACGTGATACAGCGTTTTTCGCATTCCGTGACGAACCGATTTGCGCATTCCACGACGAACTATCGATATCAATTTAAATTCCTTCGATGGTGCGCCCCGATGGTGCGCCCCGATGGTGCCGCGCCAGAGAGCTTCGCGAAATGCCGCCACCCCTATATCGCGCGGTGCAGCCACCCTCTGCAGCCGGGCTTTGCTCCCTATTTACTGTTTCCCCTCGAGGAAAAATCGTGTAGAAACGGCTCTTAATTACACCTATCCTATTGAATCCGCTCCTCCGTGCAGTGGTGCCGCATGCAATAAAGCGGTGCCGTTTTTTATCTTAATCGTACTTGCAATTGTGTAGCGATATAAAAATGCCGGATTTCCAGAAAGAGATTATAAAACACAAACAATATTTCGCATGCACACACGATCGCGTGACCCAGAAAAAGTTACATTCTGGCGCACAAATTCTCATCTTCCCTTCGAACAGCTGGAATTTCGATGTCACAGATTTCTTGTCGCGTTTGAATAAAGTATCTGGGTCACGGCAAGTGAAGCATACGTTTTTGTGTGGGATTACACCGTGATGTTTCAATGTCAGGCATTCACGTGTTTACATCACGACGCGATTACTATAGAAATTTTGTTATTCAATCTATTCTTATCAGCAAACGCGAATCGATATTCAATATAACTCCTTATCAATAAACACAATTATTTGGCTAATAAAAAACTTTATTGTATTAAATATACAACGTTTATGTGTTTTTCAAAATTAATTTAAAGTTCAGATTTCTATTTATTATATTTCTTTTTTTTATTTAGAAAAAATATTGCTAAGATATTTCAATCATCGTTTCGGTTGCCGTTATCGGCATCTTTTTCAACATATCTCCGCTTTTCCAAAAGCGACTTCTATATCGATACACATCGGCTGATATTTTTCAGGGACAGAACGATTTCCTGTAGCCAAAAGTATATCATCCCCCTCCTTCCTCTCCAAGTCTGATATGCGAAGGGCTCTCGAATCTTGCGGCATATAATCTAATAACGAGTTTTTGTCGTCACGTATCGTGCACGCGCCCTTCGATAGGGGATCATCGCGCGGCCCTCGCTTCCTTTTACATGGACTGCAGACAGGTCGGATTCCTGGTCTAAGTTTGGTTAGGTCTGCTCTATTGTGCATTACCATCCATTCAAACTGGTAATCGAATCCTACCGAGATAGCAAACTTTCGCACGCCGGGGGAGATTTGCGGCCGACTCTTGGTATTTCGCGAGGCCTTTATATCGCGATGCAGCTGGACAGACGTTATTGCTACAATATTTCTACAAGCTGAAACTCGTTCCGATGGAATAAATAACGGTAATTATTTCTCCGTCATTAAAATAAAATACGTACCTAAAAGACTCGAAGGATTTTTTTATATAAATTTATAAAACTTTATTAAAGATCTTGGCAAAAAATCAATAAATGACAAAATCTTACTTTATATATTCAAAATAATGATAAAAATTAATAATTAGAAATGATAAACAAAGTAGTCTTGTATAAGCGCTGCCTTATCATTTGTATATTTTTATAACACAAAAGCATATGTCTCTTCCTATTTATTACAAATACAATGTATTTATTTCGAGGGTCGAGGCCGATGGCCGTCGAGTATCATTGGTGTCTGTCGCCACCTTATCTTCGCCCCTACGAACGCGTATGCTAAATTGAATATGAAATTATATGCCGCTTATCGCCCTCGGGAATATGGACGTGCGATAACGCGGTGTTAAAATGCTCCTCCCGATAGAACAGCCTTGCATTTTTGCAGCACCTTTTTATTTATTATCTCAGCATCAATGCAAGCTGTGAAATAACTTTCATATGCAAATTTTTGCACTAATATAACATACGAAAGTACATTTATAGAAATTTATAAAAAATATAAGTTCTTTCTGTATAGTTTTTCGAATAATAAAGCATTGCTTGAAGTACTTATATTTTTTTTATATTAAATCAATTTCCGAAAATTTAAATTTGCACAATTCATCATTTCTTCCAATAATGAAAATTGTAACGGATGTGCCCATTTTAAGATATGTACATCGTGCTGATGTTTATTTAGTTTGTCATAAAAAATCCGAAAATGGATACTTAATTGCAATAAAGTTATCTATTTTACTACATAGAGAAAATAAGAATAGCTTTGCACTAATTAAAATTTTTTTCTTACCGGTTTTCACTTGATACTTCAAAGTCATGGAACAATCCAGTAAGAGCTGTTGGAGAGTCAATCCGGAGTCCGGAATTTCCAAATCGAGCAAGCGCATCATGTCGGCAGGATGATGAAACTCGAGGACCTTCGAATTTCTATCATTCGTTGATTTGACGAAATCCAATAGGATGTCCACCACTTTCATCAAGAACTCTCTAGTTGCCGGATAGCCTTCTGCATTTTGTGGCAAGATATCTGCGAACAAAATAAAAAATTACAAGAACGAATCTTCTGCTCTAATTTATTTATTAGATAACACATTAATGTACATTGTAAACAAATTAATGCTACAAAATCATGCATAAATTTAAATTAGATAACAATATTAATAATTAAAAATAATAAATTAAATATTTTTAAAACAAATTGTACATATCAATATCGCCATTACGATATCACACACACACATATTTGCATTTTTATGGCGTATAAAAAAAATAATTTATAAACGAATCTTTCGCAGTCTAATAGCTACGATAATTCTCTAATTATTAAAATCAAGTGAAATCTCATCTATAATAGTGATGATATCGTATTGACCAAATTCCTTTCTTGTTGTGTTGTTTGACCTACCAGTATATCCCTTGGAGCTAGTGCGCTGCTAAAATGATTTCACCTCATCAAACAATTGAAAGTATAGACTTTTATTGACACACTCTCATTTGTTTGGTGGGGTGACATCACCTTATTAAGGTATCTCTTCCTTTTTCTTCACAGCAAATCCTTCGTGACATCGTGTCCAACGTTTGTAATAGCAATTCATTGCATTACGAAAAGCATGCAGCATGCGATTATTTTGGAAGTAACAAACGCAATTTGTCAACTTTAATATTACAAAATTTAAAAATTACGATAATAAAAGATATAAAATCTAATTCTAACTTCATAACTTAAATTTATTAAATTTACAAGTAAAACATAAAAATTATATTTAGATTTTTATGTAAAATATTCTGATTGTTTACACATCTATAAACAGATTGCAATAGAAAGTATTAAGATAATGATATATGTTGGTTTTTACTGATTATTGACTCATAGATGCGAGCCAATGAAGACAAAACGAAGTCATTGCAGTGGAACATTTCAATGTGCTCGTGGTAAATCCTCGGTAAATTGAACTGTCCTTCTATCGCGAAGTAACCATAAAGTACCCCATGGAATGAACCACCCTCTCGTTTCCCATTGCATTAAGATGATCCCATGGATAAACATCTGAGCTACTATGAGAATTTGCTTTCAAATTATTATTTAGCATTTTAAGACAATTTCACGGACGAGATTTTTTTTTTAAAGAAAATGTAGAGAATTGTATTCTCTTACTGTCTTCTTTTAATTTTTTGCGGAAACATTAAATATTTTAATTACATACCGAACGTTTAAATGAAAAGAATGGTCAATTACAAATTAGCAAGTTTCACAAACATCGTAATTTTTTAAATTTATTATAAATTGAAATAAACTGAAAATAACAAATTTGTAAAATTTTGCGGACACAAGTGATAATGTAGAGTGAAAATAGAAATTTAAAAAAATAGATTATTTATTCGGTGATATTTCTTTCTTTAATCGGTTTCCGTCTTCAGCCATCGATCTCTATCTTCAATCGATAGAAGTATTTTTTTCAATAATGATAATAGTGTCGACTAAAGAAAGAAGGGCGTACGAAAACTTATGGTGAATCACCTTGAGCCTATGGTTAGACAAGAGAAATCCCCGGCTTCCAGCGGTCGGATCCAGCTAATCCAGCTCCATCAATCTAATGTCCAAAGACCTCTGCTTTCTCCCTCCCTCTCTCTCTCTTTCTCTCTGTCTCTCGCGAGGTTTATAGCACTTTGCGAGATACAAACGAATTTAAAACTATCGTTCAAGATTTTATTATGTTAAAATAAGGATCGTCTAACGCTCGTTTTATCTGTTAATTATATTTTCTACAACAACAACATATAACAATCTGTGTAAATATGTTTCTTTAAATAGACAATTAAATCTTATCAATTACATATTCCAATTCTAATTCTTACGATAAAACTCACATCAGTATCACGCAGATTCTCCCAAGTATATCACTGAGCTTGGACTCAATATATCTATCATGTGTATAGTCATTTGGCACCAGATGTGCTTAGACCCTCGCGCTTCGACTTTAATCAAAGTGCCTACTGGGGATTGTTACACGTGGCAATTAGTCACGTCGATTTATAAGCCGGATTATGACCTTAATTTATAGTAATGCCGCAGATTCCGCGTCACTATGCGTCCGCGAGTGGAATTTCCGCCAGAATATTTGCGCATGATCTGCGCGATCACTGATTATGCAAAATAAAAATCGTCCTGCGAGACGAGGAGATTCATTGAAATATCCAAAATCCTACGAGCGGCACGCGCGCATCGTTATCGCCCGCTAACACTTCCCAAACGACGAAGACGACAAACCCTTCCGCAGCCCTGCGGTGTGTAATCTGTCCTCAACCACTCGGCATCTACCAACCTCTTTGGAATAATTCTAAATCCTCTATTATTATGCACCCTTCCGATCCGCAAGCGCCTCGCGAAATCAGGACAATATTGTGACTCCTGGATTTTCCGCTCGAAAAGTCGAGCCTGCGCTCACGTAACGCAAAATGTGTCGATGATATAGTTTCTTCTTCTTGAATTTTATACGTCAATTCTTTAAGTGCCGGATAATGCTAGTATTATCATTAAAGTTATAAAAACGTAATAAATAAGTAAAAAAAATGACATTCATGCGCATGTTTATCAAGAGACGCGGTAGCGTCTCGCGACATATACAAAAAAAAAACTTATTTTTAATTCACCTGGGAATCGGAAAAATTCCGTCATATTTTTATTTTTCTTAATATTTTATACGACATTCTCGCAAGAGAAACGCTGCAGCGAATCTTTTACACAAAATTAGGTATATGCGTGAAATGTCTATCTTTATGTCAGGCGCATGCAATATTTTAATCAGCATTGGCTAAGGACTCTCAAAATTCTCACTTACCCGAGTACTTCAAGTTGCAATGCTCCTTGGAGAGCGAGTAAGTATTTTCGGCACTCATTAGTCTTGTGGGTGAATGCGTTCGTGCGAAATTCTGAAATCCAAAGCAAAGAGAATCTCTCTTCTTAAATTGTACGGTGCATTTACACATCAGCATTATATTTGGACGAATTCTCAGCAAAATAGATGTTAAAGGTGGATTTTTCGCTAAAATCTTTATCGAGGAAATCAACATAAATTCGATTCACTCACATAAGTATTAATTATCGCAATAATTATCGATTATCATTTAGGGATCAAGAAATTAACTCAACCTGAGGTGGCCTAAAAATCATTAAATGCGATTATACTGAAGTCACCGATAAAGATTTCGCCGACAATGTTTCCACTGACACTATGCCGTCGATGTTATGTCCGACTAAGAATATTCACTGTTATTTATCAACATACATGTCACATTATGATCTTCTATATCATAAATTTCTGATTTCTTATAACCTACTTTACGTAGGTATTATCATAATTTTTTCGTTACAATTTGCACATTATGTAATAATTTTTTATGTTATTAGAAAATCGTCACGTATTCACACAATCCTCATTTATCGTCAAAAATTTATTATTTGTTGCAGATTCGACAAATTTGAAAACAGAACGGCTGGAATTATTCTTTTTTAAAGACGACGAACTCGTTACTTTCCTGATCAGACATAAAACAAGATTACATCGTTATGTTACCAAAAAAAAAAAATGTACTAATTGAACGAAAATAATTGGCGAAAACATTGTCGATGTCGATCTCACTAAATGAGCGGAAAGTGATGAATGACGTGCAATGGGGATGCCTTACATATAAGTATTCCTTGATTGCTGTGATTTTAGTGCCGATCATTTGCACATTGTCCATGTCTCTGCTTGTGTCCCTCGCCTCAACAGTCCCTACAACAGTCAACAATAGGTTCCGCTTCAGTCACGACGTACTGCGCCGCCGAGTCTTCGGCGAGTTTCAGCGAGATTGCGAAATTGTCAAGCGAGAATATCATCTCCGTGGCAGCGCGATAGGCCGAGCGACCGAAGAAACATGGACAGAGAGCAGTTCGTCGTCTTTTTTTATTTTCTTTAATTAATTTCTAGAACACAAAGCTGTGCGCTTTCGCTACGTTGCAATTTTCTGGCTAACAAAGACGCAAATTTTTTTAAGCACAATTGCTTTTTTTAAATATTTAGGATTTAGAGATATTTCTTTAGAATATATAAACGGCAAAATAGATATATTCGAACTATCGATCTTACTTTGTGTTCTAGAGTTGCCCGAAGGACAGCTTCTTTCAATTTCTCAAGCAATAGGATCGCTTTGAGCTAATAGAGCGGTCCTGGGAACATGAGAAGTAAACTGGAAAAAATCCGAATGACATCCACTGATTCCTTTATGCTGCATTAAAACATGCATTAGAAGAAAATATGAAAGAGAGATTAGAATGTCTATGAAACATGCACGATTGATAAATGTGTTTGAAGAAGAATTATCATCTCGTTGTGCGTTGTGCTGTAATTTCTTTCAAATCGATGCGAAGGATTAAACTGTGATATTAAGGGATTTACATGTAGAATTTATCTTTTTGCAAAAATTTGGAAACAGAAATAAATGGATCTTTTTATCTTGTGCGGAGTGATTTAATCATTGTGAAAATATCATGATTGTTAGAAACAGCATTCTACTCTACGGCTTTATTTTTTTCTTACATTTTCTGAAAATTTACAAATTAAATATTGTAGTTTTTAATTCAAATTATATTCCGCAAAATTTCGTTTTTTTTTTATGATTCTAAAGCCGCGATTCAGAGTTTTTAGTTTCCGGAATTTATAAAAATGTATACGTTCTATAAGAATAAATTAATAAGTTATTTCGATCATTGTAATTTTAGTGAAAAGTATGTCGAGCATTTAGTGAAAAGTATGTCAAGTATTTAGAAAAAAAGATTTTTCACACACTATGTCACTTATGTAAGCTGACAAATAGAAGATTGTAAAATGTGATGTTGTGAGTTAATGGCATAATAAAAATTAAGTAAAACTATTAATTAAGCTACACATATAAGTAGCTAAACAGATAAATAAACCTACAGATAAGTAGGCTGATTATCATGCCGTAAAAGAAGCAAAAATTAGTTTTAAACACTGAGAATTCACGTACTTTGATCCTTTTATCTATAAAAATCATATTGTAAAGCAATATTTAACTTTTCTGATTTATCTAAATGTATGTCACAAATTTGTAATTTTGCAATTTTTATTTCATTTGTTACTCTTTTCATTTCTCACTAAAATATAACTTCCACCAGTACAAGTATTACATTTCTGTACGTATATAATTCAGAATTTTACAGTCAACTAACTAATTATGATTTCAATAATTTCTTAAAGTACCTATTCTTCTGATTCTTTTTAATTTCACGTCTTTTAACGATCACGATATTCATTGAAAGGCACAGGGTTTATCAATTTACAAATTTTATGTTAAATTCTTAAAACATTCCTTGATAACTCTATAATATATATTAATTGCAAATTGAAGAGATATAATCTAACGACTTATACGATATTTATCTTGTACTCACCTAATGCCGCCTGCTTCTTCGCCGGATCTTCTTCACGGCCGGATGGCTCGACTTGCGATCTCAACGGGGGTTGAATTTCACTTCGAAGCGAGCGTAGACTTTAAGGATGGAATGCCGACGAAGTAGCGCAGCGACGACGGGCTTCGGGGTGGTTTCCAAGGGACTGCTTCGTGCCGAAAACGCCTGGACGACTCTCGAGCTTCGGCCTGACTCGGCCTGCCTCGAGTCTGCTTGACCCAGTTTCATCTCGCACAACCTACGCAGCCACTCTCCCCAATCGGGGGTGCTTTTGCGTAGGCGTGGCCGCGTCCGGTCGCGATTGGTGGGAGTCGAAGAGCGAAACCCGGTGGTGGATACCAGGGTGTGTCGCCATGCCGCCAATCCTGGGACGAACGTCACTTTTGACGTCAGTGGAAAAAAGAGAGGAGTAGAGAAGAGCAAGTATGCCAATTTCTCTTCTTGTTTGTTTTTTGTTTCCAGGCTTCTTTTTGTTTATCCTGGCTGCGTGCGGTTTCCGCGGCAGAACGTATCCGCCACCAACACTTTTGCGTGTTTATATTCCATTCGCTACCTCAGAAGAGACCGGATAAAATGGAAAGAGTCTCATGGCGCTCGGAAAACAGGAATCTCAAGCTCTCGACGTCGGTGATGCGCGAAGAAGATTGAAGTTCGAGGCGCTTCTGAGGAATAGGATGCTGCAGTTTATAAATTTCAAGGGTTGCGTATTCCAACAGATATATGACGGTTATGTTGCATATCCTTTGGAGCTGTGTGCCTGAAGGCTTTCGGCACAGAACCAATAGTTACCAACTTAATATAAAATTAAAATTTCAGCTCAAAGTAAAGTTGTACTCTAAACTCGTTTTTGCAGTGTCACATATGAAATAATAAAAATTTTTTTTTTAAGTATCATTATCAAAGATAAAAATTATTATTATTAGATAATATAGGATTTATTAAAATTAAAGTTGAACGTATCACTCTAATCTTTTTAATAATTGCACAATTTGTTCTAAGCAATAAAGAAAACGTTAATCTTGTAGAGACTGATTAATTATCCCTGAGACTAATTAAGAATTATCACACCACGTTCGAAATCAATGAACGAACGCTTCTTTCACAATTCTTACTGTAGAATAAATTTAGAATAATATGACCGCAGCATTATTAATTTACCAATCAACGAACGCTGTTGAAATATCAAACTACCGGTCCATGTCGTAAAAGTACATCTGGAACATAAACGGAACGCTCATTAGGATGCGCAATGAGCTACCATAGAAGAATCTAATTGCTGATGGTCCGATTTCTTCCGCGGAGAATGTCGTGACGCCTGCGTCGTCTTCCGCCGACTGGGGTGGGTCGGGGGCGAAGAACGCGAACAGGTAGGTAAATAGAGACGGCGATATTGGAAGAGGAAGAAACGATTACGGTTACATCACCAGAAGGGGTGGAAAGGTCAAAATGGACGGCGACCAATAGGGCGCCGGGACAAAATGGCCGTCGGTGAATTTAATCAATATCGTCCTCCGTCCTTCGTCGTGGGTGGAGGACAGGGTGAGACCCAGAAAGGGCCAGGAACGTAACTAGTATGCCGAAGTGCGCGCACGTACCTCTCTCATTGAGGTCGATATATCTCTCGCTTCGTAGGCGTGTAAATCCTTTACGTGGTCGTATCCAGTGTAACGATCTACGAGAACTCGCTATTTCTGCAGTTGTACTACATCGTGTTAATGCTCAGTGAATGAAATGATCGGAAATTGAACTGACACGGAAAATTTGTATCAGAATACATTTCTATGCAACTCTTCCCTATTAAATATCACGTATCGCAAGACAATCAAATTTATTATCACATTTTTATTCTAGAACATTGCCATTGTTTTAATTTTATGAATCAATAACTTTTAAAAAGAGATCGCACTACATATAGTCTAATTCGCGCTCTAACATCCGCGTTTTCTGATTCTTACCATCTTTGTTGAATATAACATCATCGTTGTTATTAATTGAAATGCAATCTGATAGTTACAATTATAAATTCCTGAGATTGCTGAGACCATGAGAAACAGTACTTGTATAACTCTATATCGGTTAATTCTACTGTTTGGTGTAGAATTGGCTGTCAAGATGTATCAGCGAAAGGTATTATTATTTAAAAAGCTTTAGCACGAAGTTTCCACTAGTGGCAACTATCAAGGTGACTGTTTTAAAGGGGAATCAAAGTTATATTGCCATAGGTAACAGGAAGAAGAGTAGGTCGCGCCATTTAATGGAACCATGGTCGGATAGCATCGATCCCGCAGCCACCCGGCCACCTTTCACCTCTACAAAGAAAGGTAGTCCGATCACGAGATGCTGACAACTTGTCGTTCTTCATTTTCCGAAAAACTTTAAATTGAATTGACAATCTATCCAACACATCCGAGGAATTTGCTTCTAAGCATATTATTATTAAAAACTTACTGGCATATTTTATTGATCGCGCTACTTATTCGGTACTTATCGGTACTTATTTATTGTTTGTCCGTTTTCTTTTAAATGCAATATCATATACGAGATATTTTGTTTTATGCTGAATGAATAAATAAATTCTAATACTCTTACTAAATTTTGAACAATACGTTTCCGTACTTATTTAGTGATTAATTATCGGCTACTTCTTTTAGTACTAGATTTTATTTCGTATTAAAGACTAAATAGAAAAATTAACAATCAAACAATAAAGGATTTCAAGCAAAAGCAAGTTTATTGATTCTTATACATTCTTTATTATCATTAACATAAAATAGATGTTTCGATCAATATTTGACCATCTTCAATGGTCACGTTAAACGTAACGATAGTTGGAATGTATAAGAAGCAGTAAACAACTTGTGTCGGCTCGAAATCCTTTATTATTTTATTGTTAATTTGTTTCGCTGTTGTAATACGAGCTTATATTTATATACTTTATTTAATAAATAGAAAAATATTTCTACTTATATAAGGTGAATAATCCAATTTTTTATTTTATAATCTATTTAATGTCCTCATTATTACCAAATAAATATTCTGAAATTAATTTAATTAATGAAGAAAAATTAAAATCACATAGATAAAATATAATTGCTACTGCACATAAAAGTCGAATAAAATTTTCGCTCATTTAGACCATTATCGTCTGTGGTTTTAGATTTATAGCTTCAATCAGTTTACGCGCTCATCTGTTAAATTTTAAGTAGAATGCTGGGTTTCGAATTTAGTCACTTTCTAGAAAAGCAATTAAACTAATTGTAAGATCTTTAAAAGAAAATCTTTGTAAGATTTATTATAAGATAACAAAGATAATAAAAAATCAATTATTTTTTTGAATCATGTAATACATTTTATCTTATATATTGCAATATTAATCTTGCACAATTTAAAGCAAAAAAAAAATTATGGTAATAAAAAAGTAATGAAAATTGTGTAGAGAATTAAATTTTTCTGATATTTTCTTCAATATACTTAAATAAGTTATATAATTTGAAATAAGAAAAATATGTAATTAATATATATAATAATTAAAAAATTAAATAAAAGTTAAATACTTTTCTACACGGGCTACTTTTTATTCTTTATTAAATTAAATTATTATATTAAATTAATAGCAACATATATGAGCTGCTTGAAAATATTATTTTTCGCAACCTTGATTCGTTTATGATACAATTATATCGTGTCATACTGTTAGAGAAAGCGTTCGTAAGCTGATTTCAAGCAAACTGAAAAATACGGAAGAATGCTGAAAAATTATATTCGATCGTATAAAGTTCTAAAACATATTTTCGGTGTAATCATTTGAATCAATCAATTTCATTGACAAAATATAACACAAAACGACTAGTCCCTCGTTTAATTTTAAATGATTAATTTAATGTGAATAGATATATTCTCTTATTACATGTTGCATTTAATTAAGAGTGAAGTTATTTCTCGATTTGTAATATGCTTTTTTATAATTTGCGGAGAAAATTATTAGTTGAACTGTGGTTTCTTTCCAAGCAAATTCCTTTCTGAACGATTTCCATTTCGACGTATAAACACTTTTTGCCTGTTATCAAAAAAATCTGTTAGAATACCTCTGTCATATACAAGGCAGAAATATTTATTATTCTCTTTCTACAGAGAATTTATAATACATGAAAAATCTTTATAGATAATGCCAAAATTAAAGCCAAAAAGTAATTGTCAGTGCGTAAATATTTCTCACTATGTTGCATTTCTTTTCCGAAACACTCTTTCTTCATAATTAAATTTTCCAGGATGTATAATAAGCATTCTGTTTGAAATAATTTCTGCAATTTTATAGTTTAATATATTACTCTCTTTAAAGAGAATCGAAAAGTTTATAAGTTTTGCCAACATTAATTGGCAAATTATTAATTACATAAATTGTACAGTATTCTTGCAATTATTTTCTGAATAATTATTAGTGAATTTAGTCTGGCTCTGTTCTGCTTTCTTCTTGACCCATCAATTTATTTTCCTTGTGTTCAAAGTAACAGTATTTGTGATCAGCTAAGTCAGCTTGATGGTAACGGACGACTTTAGGGATGTGTGAACGATATCTTAAAACTGGGCGCCGGGCGCTAAATCGGTATGCCAAACTAAGATTTTATTACAACAAATTTTCTAAATTACTTATACTTAGCTTTCAAAAAATATTATTTTTAATTAATACCGCTTTAAACAGATAAATAGAATTAATATTTAATCAATTAATTATTGTTCTGAAAGTAATATTAACGATTTAGCTACGGAGAGATATATTACATTTAATACTAAGTTTTTAAATAAATATTATTAATTTATATTGTTTTACATAAATTAATAGACATACAGATTCATTTTTCGATTAATATAGATACAGATTTATACGAAAGAAGCTCTTTATGTGTGCGAATTATTCGTTATTACTTTATTAATGTCTCATTTTTAACTGTACAATGCTTAAAATTATTTTCTCTCCTTTTTCTTGCTGGTTAGAAATTGTAAATTGCATTATATCTGTGATGCAGGAAAAAACAGAGAAATTTATATCTTTTTGTTGGGTTCTATCAATGTTAAGGACAGCCCTGCTTGACATTCGAACTATAAAAGCGTCTGCCTTGTACCAAAATAGACAGTTCGTATTTGAGACGTTGATGTGAGCTGTGAAATTCTCTGTAGTAGAAAAGTAGAGCCGTATTCATCGTGATCATTATAAAATTTCTGATTATTCTTATAAAACACTGCCACGAAAAGAAGAACATAATTCGGAGGAAAGTGCTGTTGATTTTCTTATAACAACTTTTTCATCTTTAAGGTAAGTCACAACGCACTGTCAAGTTTAGCGATTTATTTAACAAATATCTTGCAGAACAATACGCGAGTTTTAGAAAAACGGAATGCAATTTTTATCATAGTCATTTTGCAAATCGGGTGAAAATTCGTAAAATAATTCAGGGCCAAAATCGCACGTTCAATACGCATTCAATACATTTATCGGCAAGCGTTAATTACATCATCTAGAATCCCGCAATGAGCCTGCTCTGTCCGTTCTATCCTTGTTTATCCAACGCAGCAGCTATGAAATCTCATTCCGTCTCCCTCGAATGTACAGGAGCGCGGTCAGACTCCAGGAATTCCTCCTTGGCCGTACGCGCCGATCCCCTCCCGACGCGCCAGCATTGGAACGCGGAGTTCCACATCCCCTTCAGAATATTGATTAGCCATCATTTTCAGATGACGCCTTCGTTCTGTTGGGTGTTCCTGTTGGCGTTGGTGGGCCGTGCCAGGAGCGTTCCCGATCCCGTCGTGGTCGACGCGTGCGCTCTGCTCTGCAACCCCGGAGCGGAGACCGAATCCGAGCGAGCGCGGGACAAGAACCTATATCCGCGATATGCCAAAGTGAACTGCCACCCCCAGTCAGTGTCCGACGACGACCAGGCGTGGAGAATTGCCAGCCACTGCTTGAAATTGTGCAATGAAGAGCTGTCAGTTGAATCGGAAGTTAACTGTTTCGCACTGAGATCGTCTCTGGGCAGTAATTTAGGATGTTATTGTGAAGCTTTGACACCCTTGAGTCCGAACACCATGCGTCTCCACGAGAGCTGGAGACTCAACTTTCTAGTGAAGGAGCTGGCGAAGGACATCATGGCTGTAATCCTCGATTCACCTCTCGATATGATGATCTTATGTGAGATCCATAAAGAGCTATACCACGAAGGTTATACACTAAAATTACCTGACAAAGGAAAAATTATAGATACATGCAAAAATGAGACATTACATATAATAAGGTCTCGATCAGTTGATCAAGAAGAGGATAGTGTTGTAGATAAGGATGCGGTAGAAGAAATTGTAGCCGATGAGGAGGACAAGGATCGTGTCGTACGCGAAGTTAAAAATTTGGAGCACAGTAAGGAAAGCGACAAATATAGCAAGAACCTGAAAGACGAGTTGGAAACCGAGATGAAGAAAAATAAAGATAAAAAGAATACCGACCTTGGCGATAAGACTAATAAGAAAAACAAGGACAATGTGGAAAATAATAAAAAGGTTGAAAAGGACGTCACAGGCAATAGCGGAAAAGATAAAGTAAAAAGACAACGCAAAGAGCGACACGAAGCACAGCAAGAAGGATAAGAAAGACAGCAAGAACGAAAAAGGATAACGCGAAAGACAACGCAAAGAGCAACGTGGAAAATAATAAGGAGAAAGCAACAAACGACGCAAAGAACAACGTAAAAAATAATAAAGAGGACGCAACCAACAACGCAAAGAGCAACGTGGAAAATAAAAAGAAGAAATTAACAAACGACGAAAAGAGCAATGTAGAAAATAATAAGAAGGACACCACAAAAGACAACGCAAAGAACGTTGCACAGAATGATAAAAAAGTTAAGGAGGACACGAATAATAGCAAAAAAGATAATCTGAAAAACAAATCAAAGAATGAAGCGGAGGATAACGCAAAGAACGATAAGTTAGATAGCAAGAATGATAGTAAAAAGAGTGAAACGACAGACCAGGCAGAAAACGCGAAGAAGGACAAAGAGAGGGATGAGAGGGACACGGATAATGGCGAAATGGATTCTATGATCCCGTCGGACTGGGCGCTACTGGACGACGAGCACGAAATGATGAACGATCAGGCGATGAACGATAAGGAAGATAGCATGAATGATAGTAAAAGGTATGAAACGACAAACCAGGCAGAAAACGCGAAAAAGGACAAAACAAAAAGTAAGAGGGACATAAATTATGGCAAAATGGATTCTATAATCCCGACGGACTGGACGCTACAGAACGACGAGCACGAAATGATGAACGATCAGGCGATGAACGATAAGGAAGATAGCATGAATGATAGTAAAAGGTGTGAAACGACAAACCAGGCAGAAAACGCGAAAAAGGACAAAACAAAAAGTAAGAGGAACATAAATTATGGCAAAATGGATTCTATAATCCCGACGGACTGGACGCTACAGAACGACGAGCACGAGATGATGAACGATCAGGCGATGAACAGTAAACAACAAGAGGAGGTTACTACCAAAGCAATTATGCTTGATCTGGTAAAAACGACAAATAATCTTGTACAAGTGTTAAATAATTTATTATTGAAGCTTGAAAAAAGTAATGACCTTTTAAGCAAGTAAAAATTACATTTAAAAAAAAGTAATGAAAATTTGCATGAGTAATCATGAATTTACATATCTCGCGTAGATTAGGTTAATCATTTTGGCGGTCCACTAGATTGAAAGCACTTTTAGCAATAATCGGGAATACTTATGAAAAAAGCAGATCTGAAAATCTGAAAAAAAAAAATTTCTACGGCTTTCTTTTTAATATTAATTATTCGAACCAGATAATTTTTCTTCTGACATCTCAGATACTTGAAATAATATTGTTTTTTAAACCGACACAATATGTATAGTAATTCTAACAAACAAAATAAATTAATAAATTATTATCTCTTAGAACAGTAATTATAAGACATAATTTAAAAAATTGTAAATATTGTTGAATCTTAATAATTCGAAAGATTGCGATATATAAATAACTACACGTCAAATTACAATTTTACGTAAGTTATTTCATTTGTTATAAGAAAGATATATATTCTTTTTCCATTTTTTACATGTGTTTTATTTTTTATATACACGATTTGTACTTTTCTATCTTTTATATATGTTTTTATTATCACTTGCGTATAGTTAATTTAGAGAGATATATCTGTTAAAGAATATAAAAATAAAATAAAAATATATATTACAGAAAATTCTGAAAAAAAGTATTATTAGCATTAATATTATTCCTGACGTGTTATTAAAATCTATGTAAAGAAATATGCGAAATATTTGGTTAGTAATAATAATAAATAATAAGAAGTAATTATAAACGATAAGATTTTGCTTAATATATGTATAATGTTGCTATAATCGCTTTAGGCTTAAGAGTTCTACACAAAATCCGGTTCACACAGCCCGCATCTCGCCGATAGAGAAAATACGACTTCGAAACTTTTTTGTCTTCATCAATTCTAATGTATAAGCATTTCAGATAACATACTTTCAAAGAAACATAGTCACGATACACAGTCATAAAAGATATACAATTAAACGCGTTTTACTTGAATTATTTATATGTAAAAATTAGTATTATAGCATATTAAATATTATTATAACAATTAATAACAAAATTAATAATAGAAGTCAAGAAATATTGTTATCACGTTACACCTTTCTATTAATATTGCGTCGTAACGTTATCTTTTTATTGCATTATATATACATGACTCAAACAATAGTTGTTTGTCTTTATGTCTTATTTCTCTTTTAAAAATATATTACTTTTAAATAGATAATTGCCGCCAAAGAGCGGTGGAGAGTTGATTGCTTTGTACAAATTTATTGAAGGCTTGCGACGTGTGAACAGGACATCGGTGTGTGATATGTGTATTATGCAATAAACTATTTGTATGTGCGCACGATATGCATCATGCATTCTCGCGCTAAATGTAATTTATCTAGAGCAAACGATAACTTTTTTACGATGGTAGATTATATTAAGCAAATATGCGATGAAACAAAATCCACGTCTTCCATGCTGTAGTCGAATTATTACATTAGCAGTAATTAACATTGTGTGCGTGCGTGTGTATGTGTGTGTGTGTATGTGTGTACATAATAATACATAAACGATATCACATAAGTAGGATAATTAAATGCGAATAGTTATTAAATGTGATAAGTCTTGGCATTAATACGTCGTCGATCGTTGATCATCTCCGTACGAAAAGCTAGTAATCATGTGAAGCGAGTAATCGGCGACGTTATTTGTTTATATCGTGCCGAATAAGAAGAAAAAGTTGTGACGCGACAATAAGACGTAGAACTTAGTATGCCTGAACGATATAATCGATCGTATCGCGCTCTCGGTTATTGATCGACAAATACACCCACTTTCTTCGTTGATTCGTTAACACAGCAAATGCGCGACAGCATTTGTAAGAAAACAAGAAGAGTGATTAAACAGAAAGTTACTTATTGAGTGCCTAGGGAAAGTATTATAATATTTTAACGTAATTAACACACATAGTAAATATATTCGAAAAGGTCGGTCAATCGTTGAGAGCGTGATTAAGATTTGGCTACAATAATTTAATATTTTATATTAATATAATTATCTAATTATATTAATATAATACTTTATATAACTATTTAAATATATAAATATTAACGGTATAAATATTTATATTAATATTATGCGTATAAAGTATTATATATAACGCGAATGAAATACATGCGGAATATAAAATTTCATATTTATGTATTTATCAAACGTACAGTTTATAACATTTGTTCTCTAAATGATATGCGATAGGATAATACGAAAATGCGCAATTCTATAAGATTTAGATCTCATAGATCTCTCTTATAAGTAAAATTTACAGACAAAGCACTGAAAAATATCTTCGATATATTGTCTCTCGTGGAGACACTTTAACTCTTTTTAATTTATAATCTTTCTAGTAATATTTATACTATTTGTGTCAAAATTGTAAATTATGTATATATGATGCAAAAGTTTAACGTATATTTTATGCTTTATCACATGATAATAAAAAAATGTTTGTTGCAATAAAAATTCTATTTATTTTTTAGATCAAATTTTTATTTATCAAAAATAAAATATGTTTTATAATGATAATATAATAATATATATGATATTATTAATGTCAGACCTAAATCCTTTTTAGCACTATAAGAATACCTCATTTTCCATCCCTTGTGAGTATAGTGAAATCTTTTATCGGATGTTAGTAACATAAGTATTTGGAGTACAGTATTCAGTAAGTATTCAAGTACTCAGGGATAATATAGCAACAACAGATAAATACTGTAATACCATTTGATGCTAAAATAAATTTTTCAATAATTAAAAATAATAGAAGAATAATTTTGTTCAAACTGACAATAAATTTTTTGTATAAATTTCTTATCAAAATTTTATTATCAAGAAAATAATTCATTAACTAATTATTTAAATACTATAGTATCTGTTATATATTCTGATTCCGTTACATGTTAAAAATATAAATAAAGTTAAACATAGTTAAAAATATTACATTAATAGGAAAATTAGTAATCAATTTATTCTATGTTATTATTATCTTGTAATGAAATAATTAAAATTTTAATCTATTATTTAAAATCTTTCATTTCAGTACAATTGTTTAACCAAAAATAATGTTAAGCGGATATTAAAAAAAATTGATTTTGTGCTATGATAAATTCTGTTACCATTTTCGATATATGATTCTTCCAACGCGATCAAAGCAATCTTTATTTCCCTGAAGTAAAAGGCAATCAAAGAGGTCTTCAATCATGTTATATCCTTTGATAGCCTTATATCACATACTGTATTCCCATAGCGCAGATATCCTCTTATAAAAGGCAACCTCAGCCGTGGAAGAAGCATCAGTCGAGTTTCATCCATCTCTACAGCTGGCTCATTCAGGTGAAAACTTTGCATATGCTTAATTGTACTAACTATTGGTGTATGTAATATTTCTTATTCTATGTTAAAAAGAAAATGTAAATGTAAATCTCGGATCTCACATTTTTACACACCGCGAACAATATGTTCTGTTCCAATAACTTCTCAATTCCGCGGCTCGGTTTTGTGATATTTCTACACGCAAGCTGGTCACCATCAGATATTATGAATTTTGATATTTTGCGACGAATCAATATCTCGTTGGACGAACCCGTGACTTTACTTGCAAATAATGTAGGTCGACTGCGGTTGATGGAGACATTTATCTTCGCGTCGTTTTCTCGAGTATAAAAGCTCGCAGCTTTTGCCTCGTTTGTAACATTTGGTGGCCGACTATCGTCTAAGAATCAAGTGAGTTTCTTCGTTTGCAAGTAAGCTTTCTCATCTCATACAGATTTATTTCTCGCGACTTTTTTGGAAATTTATTATTGCTTATCGAATAATTATAATACAATTGCAAGACATTAATGATTTATTCTATTACAGCAAACAAAATGTGATAATAATTATAAAAAACTGCAATTATAAATAAATTTTTTATTTGCTGTTTCAGTCGCAGTAAGAAAACGGTCCAAATCATCGACATGGTTTCCACTCGCCTTGCTCTCGTCCTCGCTGTTATCGTGGTGATTCTTGCCCTCAGCGTAGATGCCACCTTTAGAAAACCACCCTTCAATGGTAGCATATTCGGTAAACGATCCAGCACTGTAACTGGTAAGCACGAATTCTGCAACTTAAATATTTTTTCAAAAAAATATCATTTTGTAAAATAAAAATTAATCATGAAATCTACAAATGTAAAGCCATTCTCTTTTGTTAGATAAAATCTACATTAGAATACTAAGTAAACATTTTGTTATATGTCATTTGTATAATAAAATTCTTCTAAAATATATTAAATTTATATATCGTTGTTTAAGATTTTATTTACTATAAGTCTATATAATTACTATTAAATACTATATAATTTTTTCTCTAAAATTATAAAAACTAATTAGAAATATTTCTTTACATAAATATTATTACAATTCATAGAATTTCTTTACGCCAATTATTTTTTCTTTATAACAAGTATCTTTTATTTTATTTCCTTTTTTTTTATTTCCTAAAAGAATAACGAATCAATTATTTGTGATATTTTCAGATTACGAAGTTACCAGCCGTGCTCTGTCAGCTATTTGCGAAGTTGCTAGTGAAACGTGCACCGCTTGGCTGTCTCGTCAAGAATCCAACTGAAGATGAATAACCGACCGAATCGACTTCACGACTTCCACGATTTTCATCGACTGATCGGCCCATGAAATAATGTAATTAAACAAGCTCCTGTAATCATGCGCTTGGAAGTTTGTCATATTGTCCTCTATCAGTCACTGTTATTGCATTATGCCATACCTAATCGTAAAAATTTGTATTTAAATGATATTGTAATTACAATGGATTAAGCTTCCACGATTTAGCCATGTTTATTAAAAGCGTCACGAATAAAGCATTATGATTTTCAGGAGCTAATTGTACTATTTTTAATTACTTTCTTTTCTTCTGATCACCCATCTTGTTTTGTATTGCATATTTTTATCGACGACAAATAATATCCGTTCTCTCTAATTTTACAGTATAACTTTTAATAATTACACGTTTATTAAAATAATTGCCCATTAAAATCAAATATTTAAAATACAGCATATACTCAACAAAATACTTGACTAAAATAATTTATATAATTGTAAGAGTATATTGAAAAATTTCGCTAAATGTAGATTAAAAGCGATTTGACATGGAAAGCACGTTTTATTCACCTGCCTGGATGAGGGTTATATTCTATTCTTTGTATTCGAGAAAACATACATACAAATCAACCGTAAAAATATTGGCGTATTTAACTTGATTGACTTATAACGCATTCTACATTTGTATATAAATGCTTTATTTGCGTTGAATTGCGATAATAAATTTTTATTTTTAGCAAAAGATTAAATTTTTTATATTATCTAAAAAATATAAAATTTTATTTTTATTTATAACAATGTTATTCATCTATTTAACTATACTTAACAATAAATTGAAATATATGTTGTATATCAAAAATGCACGGTATAAGAATATATTGTATATTCTTTCACATGTATCCTATTAGAAAGAATTTATGGTTGGACATTGAGGACGATAAATCTTCCGCTGAAGAAAAACCGACCAGGAAATTTATTCTCGATACTATAGGGGAATACAAGCCAATTTACAAGCTGCACATGAATCAAATATTTAATGAATCATTAATCCGGTATAAATGTGCGAAGTCTGATCTAATTAAGCTTAGTGCGTCCAAGTTGTCGTGGGTAAGCAATATTATCCATCTTATCACGCTAATCAAAATTTATCTATATTCTTATTATTTTTGCCATTATAAAAAATCTCTTTTCCATATCACATTCTCTGTGACATCAAATTAGAATAACCGATATCTTTCCTACGATTTTGAAGTAGAACAGTAAATGTCATATTTGAATATACAATGTACTCTTTACGTTATTTTCAAGAAAATGTCTTGTTCGAAAATAAATCTTCTTTATTTGTAATTTGTAACTAAAATAGAATCAATGTTATATATTAATTATAAGAGTTATTTAAAAAATTATTTCTATGTTCTGAATCGTCCCATAAATAAAATTTAAATTTCCTGCGATATTGCGCAATTTTTTCGAAAAGATTAAAGTTATATTTACAGAAAACTCTCAATTCCGCATCAAAAACGTTATCGATTACGCGTTGGTGATTTCGGAAACTCTTTATTTACTCGCATCCAATAGCCAAATGTATCTCGATACGTCAAACATTTCCCTTAACGTCCTACGATGTAACCGTTCTATAGAACGCATTTCACTCGCGCGGGCGCGCGGATGAATATTCTCGCGCGTGTTCCGCGCGAGGACAAACAGTTGTTGGATTCAAATGCGATGGGGTTTCTCGATGTGCAAACTCTTGGTCGATTCTCCTTCGCCCACAATCCTTGAGCACTCCAATCCACTCTTCGCGGTAATAGAAGAAGCCGTACGCTACGCGAAAAATCGTTCAGTGTTCAGTGAACGCCCGCGAGACGCGCATCCTTCCTGTAGGATTCGACAGGATCCTATGGCAGTCACTTCCGCGTTGGCTACGATCGAGAATGCCACGTCGATTAGCACACATTCACTCGTCGAAATAATCGTTACGCTCGACTTTCAGGCGCGTAATTGATGTGATGTGTTGCTCCATAGACAAAGTGATTGTCTACGAAGATTGAATTGCGTTTAATTCGTTGCAGGTACTACAACTTTCTCGAGATGATGCTGCAAAGGGCTCATACTCGCCAAATCAGAGCTATCTTCTTTAATGGTGAGCTAATTCACGTTATTATCTTTGTATAAATTTTTATATTATGTTCAAATTATGTGGGAAAAAATGCTTAATACTCACAAATATGATACAAAATTAATGATTCCTTTCTTTTATTTTTATATTAAAATTAAGTTTAATGTTACTCTTCGTATTTGCTCTAGTTTTTCTTGTTGGAGTCACGTTATCAATCTGTCAAGATGTTGCTAAAGCGGACGAGGTGCCAGCATTTTTCTTGAAGATCGCCAAAGTTCCAGCTTTACCTCGAGTAGGCCGGAGCGGCTTTGAGAATTTCTTTTACAAAGCCGAAAAGCATATACCTCGCATTGGCAGAAATAATCAGCAGGTATTTATTTATTAGAATTTATATAATTATTAATTTTTTTCAGTTAGCATACTTGAAGACTCATTGTCAGTAATTATACTGAATAATGCCTAATTTGTGTATTTCAAGTCAACCAATCCTCTGCACGATCAGGAATCTTACTCCGGTATAACTAAAAGGCGCATAGAACATCCAAAAGGTTAGATTCGTTGATATGTTTTTTTACATATTTTATATATTGTCACAAAAAAATAATCCTTCAATGTGTATTTTTTATTGATAGTAGAAGAATGGTCCTGGCAAAATTTTCCATTGGCGATTGAAGGTCCAAAGGAGCTATGGCGAACACTAGCTGGATATTCACAGAATGGCGATGAGTGAGTTTCATAGAACATCATTTTTTCATTATATTTTATTATATGAAATCAAAATGCTTTTTTTTAATTGTAACAATTTTATTTCTTTTTTTTAGAATATTACAATTTAAAGTACATAAAATATCTTTATATTTTATAACAATGATTAGAAAAAGACACATTTTTCTAAATGTTTTTATATGATTTGTTTGTAAGAACATCGTAAATTATATCAATAATTAATAATTGTTCAATTTATTCAAGCATCGAGAACGAAGTATGGCAGAGGAAGAAAAGAACCGGAACTGGACCAATGATCACGCAAACAAAGTAGAATAAATGCTTCATCACTTCGCAAACGTTATACAGTGTTTAATGCTATATGGTGACGGGAAATGATGAAAAATAATAAATACATAAATATTATTATATTTATAAGTGCGTTTTCGCTTTTATCTATCTTCAATTTTTTTGCGCCGAATTTGGAGTCCTCGACAACAAATTTTCATAATTTGTTCCCTAGAGATACTATACAATGTATTAGCGTTTGCAGAAACTGAAAATGTAACCAGTGGATTAGTTATTTAAAATGTAGATTTTATATTTAAGCAACTGATTATTTCTTATCAATGTTAAAATATGAGATAACAATAAAATCTGTGAAAAATTTCTTTCACGTTTCTTTTTCTCTTATTTCTAACAACCTTAATTAAAAAATGTTAAATACTAATTTTTGGTAACTCTGTAATTAGCTTTATGCATCGCCGTTATATTTTTTTTGTGCAAACAGATATTATCTACTTTGAATATAATTGATATTTTTAACTTACTTATTTACAGTATTTTCCGACAACTATTTCTGTTTGTATTATCAATTCATCTCCTTCAATTGAAAAAAAAATGAGATTATTATATCGCATTATTAGCATTGTACTTTGTGGTATCATGAGATTTTATTTTAGTTTATTCAAGTTCAAATACTCGAGCAAAGAATCTTTGATTGTCTTTATTTAATCATCTATACTTGCCTTATTTTCTTATACTTACTTTTAATTTGTGTATATGCGGAGAAAATTTTAGACCAATAGTTACTGTGTACGACAAGAGCCGCAGATCATGAAAAAATTACAAAAATTTTTACTGTTTTTTATACAATGGCCATAGTATTTAAATAATTTTATAATTCTTCTTATGGTCCGCGGCTACTGCCGTAATTTTTTATATAAAATTAATAAATATATAAATATATGATAAAATTTTCTCCGTGTGAATTAGAACACGTGTTCTAAAATTACTATAAACAAAAAAATTATATTTATTAAACAACAAATAATAAATTGAATTAATTAGTTACAGTATTAATTTTCTTTGTGTTACAAAATAAATGCAGCTGTTATTTACTGAAACGATAGATGTGGATTCCTTTTGTTCGTCTCGATTATTATGTAACAAATAACAATTGTTAATGACATTACTGTTTTTAACGACATTCTATGTGAAAGCATTATCTATGACTCAATTTAATTTTTTTTAGATTTATTAATATTGAATTTAGGTTTATTATTAAGCTTTTAACCACATTTTAGTATCGTATATGACTTATTTTTTATTTTTTTAAATTTATTAATATTAATTTATATGCGTGTCATGATAAGAGCTTGTGCAGTATGCATAAGCATTTGCAGCGTGCAAAACTGAGAAGATCGGCGTTTGTCGCATGTCGCTACGTCAATTTTTCACTGAGTTATAGCGTTTTAAAAATCCGGCAGGCGCATTACCTAAAAATAGACGCGGTACGCGGAAACACGCAGCACGCGGAATGCGGATAAGCTATTTTTGTCCTACTGTCTAGACACCTGCTAGACATAGTATCGTTATGGAGCATTGACCTCCGTAAAACACACAACTCCGACGTGGCATCGGTCCGAACTATGTCGGAATCACTCGGGATATGATCGAGAGTCGATGATGCTGTCAATCTTTGTTTCCTTGAAAATGCGCGAAAAGATGCGGTAAACAAGTGTTGTGGAAAAGGCAAGAAAAATTTAGCATGTCAGGAAACCAGAATCATTTATTTCAGGTAACTAATTTGACAAATATCATCAATTAATTATAAAAATAACATTAACTCTTTTGGCACTTCACATAACGACGCAAAATCATGACGCTATCCGACTTGCTGATTTATAGGTTAAGATAGCTTGTAGATATTTCGCGTTGCAATAAACATTATATAAATCGTTTTTTAGACAGCGTATGTATGCATAATACCTACACGAACATTTATTGGTTTATATATTAACCCTCTATACCGAAAAAGTTAATGTGATTGTGGATTATTATATTTTCTAAGAAATATTTTGCATATTATGTATTCATGTTAAGAGCTGGCATTTTTTTACAGCTATTTATTATTGGTGTGTTTACTTATTTGTAATGATCTACTTTCCAAAATGTTTTTGATAATCATGTGTATATTATATTAAATTCTGTATTTAACTCTTTCTTTTATTATACCATAAGAAACTGATTGCGGAATGACAACTGCAATGGAAAAAATCTGGAAAAAGAGAATGAAACAAGAATGAACTAAAGTTTAACTATACAGTGGGGTGTTATTAGTTATATTAAGAAGACAACAAAAAATTTGTTTGTTATTGGAGGTACAAAAAATATTTTCTTGCTTAGATACACTAGAAAAACTTTTGTTAGCAGCATAATTGTTACTGAAAATGCTACAGTTATTTTATGTAGATTGAATGATTATTATAGAAACAATTGTACATATGAATGTGTGTATGCAACTAATTACAGAAACTTTGTGTAACACATTTACAAGTTTTCTACTAGTAAGCATTATGTCAATTGAATTAACCAATTGCTTTATAAATGAACACATTGTATCAATTGGATTATTAATATTTAGTTCATACTTTGATTCTGAAAAATTTATCTAAAATTTAATTGAAAATTAGCATAATACATATTTAAATATACATTTAATTTCTACCGTTTAATTTAAAATATTATTTCTTTGCTCAATACTCAATGCTCACAGATACAATGAAAAGACTATATGAAGTCTAAATACACAAAATATCTTTATATTTTATAATAATTATTAGAAAAGAACATTTTTTTAAATTCTTTTTGTATAACTTATTTGTAAGAACATCAGATATTATATCAATAATCAATATTAATTCAGTTAAATCAAATTGCTTGCTTAATAATTGCTTTTAAATACAAAGTTTGCATGAATATGTACAATTTCTATGTTAATAAGAAAAATGCTTGATATTTAGAAATAAATACGATGTAAAAATGCAAATTTTATACGTTATTAGTTAAAAGAAATTGATTACGAGTATTTTTGCTCAAACAGACTTATTCATGGATTACCGCGAGTTTATCAGCGCTCTCTTTTGAAGAGACAGTGAGTACCATAGAGAGCAAGACAACATGGGATGGTAAGTGTCCTACAAAAAGTACAAATAAAATATATCAAGGATTATCTTTGCTGTTAAGTAGAAGATTCAAATAAAATTCCTAAAAAATTTTTTTATTAAAAGTAATTTACCTATTAAAAATTATTAGTTTAATATTTTATTTTTAATATTAAATTAATTTTTTTAACATTTTTGCTTTATTTAAAATAAACTAATTGATAACATCATAATAATGTGTGAAATAAATATTTTTTTAATTTTAAAAATATCGACGTGGAAATACAATGAATATAGTGTTCCATGCAAAAGCTTAAGATGTCGTTAGTCGAACCATTCGGTACGCACATGTGAAGCACGAGTTATCGCTAGGTAGAGCCATTGATTCATCAAGTAATACAAGCATTCCGCCCCATTGGCTACTTTCCGTAACAATAAATTGTTGTAATTACAATAATTCTTGCCTTTAAACGACGCTTTGTGTTTAAGTCCCGCCGTTGCAACCGGTAATTTTAATTCATTATGCTGTAACCGCGAGGCGATTCACTGTTCTTGCCACCGTGACCTAAATCCCAGCAAAAGATTATTGGAAAGAGAAATTTTTCTCCGCTATATACCACATAACTTGTTTATGCTATACAGAGTTCCTGATCGACGATATCATTTGTTAATAGCAGATTCCTGAGGTTATTCGAAAATGATTATCTTCATACCAAATTTTCAAGGCTACAATAATTTTAAATAAGAACTTTAAAGTTTAAAGTTTACCAATCATATTGTTAAAAATTTACATATTTAGGCATATTGATTTTTATATTTTTATCATATATGAGAAATCTCAGAAATCCAATTAACGGGTGATACGGTTAATCTGGGACGTCTTGTATATTTTACATTATTTGCAAATTTATTCTCTTCATAATATTAAAATAAAACAAATTAGATTGACTTACCGACACGATGCGCAACAGCGGAGTTGTGTTCACAAGTTAATCTGTAATATATAAAATATATCTAAATTATAGCAGCGTTCAAAATAATTATTTGAAAAATAATTATAACACATATTAAACTTTTACTCATCTTTTATGCAAATATCTAATAAAAGAATTATATATTTATCAAAAAATTATAAAATAATAATAAATATGTTAGAAATCTAATAATAATTAATATTTAAAATTGCAAATCTGTTATCAAAAGATTTTATTTCAAAGTTTCTATGTGCGTTAAATTACATAATATTTTACATGTAATATTTTGCAAATAACAGATAACAAATAAATGATTACTTATCCGAATGTTGCTCTGCCGGCGTCTGATGCTCTTTCTGAGCCTCCTCTTCTTTTTTCTCAGTTCTTTTTGTAGTTACTCACTTTTGTAGTTACGCGTTCGCGACGCAAATACAAAAATTGCACGATATTTTGAATGGCATTTCCGACGCATATTTCGTCACATTAAGACAAAAGTAAAATTCGCACGGATTACACATTCGATTCTCTGTCGCGCACATAAAAGTAACGATGGGTGAGATTGAAAAAAAACAGGAAATAATAAGAATAGTACTATTGAAGAAGATAACGCGTTGATACGAAACAATACTCCGCCGTTCGAATGATAAGATTGTAATAAACATATCCAAGACAAGATCGCCCCGGGTGAGAGGGAGGGAGGGGAGATATAGATCACGCAGGCTAAGGGTGACGAAGACAATCCTACTAAACGCCCCGAGTCGGCCTCGAAACTTAACACACCTAGAGCATTTATCGAATATTTATCAAAATCGAGTTTAAACTTGATTTCAACTCGATTTCGGTATGTAAATGTTCAATAAATACTTTAGTGTTAAAAGTTTGTTGGCGTGTGGTGGGGTTGTTTATGTCGCTGCGCTCAGCCTGCGTATTCCTTTCTCTCTCTCTCTCTCTTTCGCACTCGTTATATATTTATACGCAAATTGTTGTTCTCTATTTCTCGCATTCTTTCAAGTTGGAATCGGCGCGACTTTGTCCTTCATGTGTTCATTGTACTCTCATTATTCGCACGGCAGCACTTGTGCGGAGCAGATTGTTTCGTATCTTTCGACGCGTTATCCTCTCTAATAATACTATCCTTGCTACTTCCCGTTTTTGATCTCATCCTTTTCCGTCGTTATCTATTGCGGAAAGTGTCGAACGTGTATTCCATGCGAATATTCGAGTTACATCTTTGTCCTAAAATGACAAATTACGCACTGGGAGTTTGAAACATCGGGCGATTTTCGTATTCGCGTTGCGTACGCGTGTGAGTGCTTGAAAGACTGCGAGGACTGAGAGGAGGATGAGGCTCAGGAGGAGCATCGGGCGCTGGCAGAGCAACTTTAGAGTAAATATATATAATCATTTATTTGTTACCAATTATTTATAAAATATTGCACGTAATGTAACGCAGATAAAATATTTACAATAGTTAAATTAAATTCATGCTTTTTAGATATGTTTTATTTATTCATTATTATTTCAAATAATTTAACTTTTTTTTGATAATTTTTTTATTAAACGTTTACTTAGGTAAATGAATAAAAAGTTCAATGAGCGCAACAATTGTTTGTCAAATATTAATTATTTTAAATGCAACTTTAATCTGGATTTATTTTTGTATTTTACAGATCGATTTTGCAGATCAACAGAGCAACTCCGCTGCTGCGCATCGTATCGGTAAGTTAATCAAATTAGTTTTATTTTAATATCATTAAGAAAATAAATTTGCAAATACTGTAAGATATACATGATGTCTCAGACTAATCATATTTTTAATGCAGATTTCTGAGTTTTTTCATATGATAAGGATATAAAAAATCAATATACGACGTATTTAAACGCGTGAATTTTTGACAATTTGATTGGTAAATTTTAAACTTTTGTTATTTAAAAACTATTGTAGTTTTGCTAATTTGATATAAAGATTATCGTTTCCAAGTAACCTCAGAAATCTGCTATGAACGGGTAATATGATTGATATGAGATACTTTGTATGTCTTCAATGATTAAAATATATTTCAAGATTTATGGAAAATAAATACAAATAAATTAGGAAATGCTTCGCATACAAGATATGTATAGACGCATCTTATAGTTCTACTTTTTTTAGCTAAAGATAGCTATAGGTCCGCTTAGTAGTATAATATAAGTGTAGCTCTTAACTTCACTTGTTTGATTTAACGCAAAGTTTGATTATATCTACAGATAGTAGTTGATTGAAAAGAACATGCATTTTACTTTTTGGAATGTAACTTCTTTCTGAACACGTTTTATCAATCATATCAATATATAACAAAAAATTAATTTTCACTAAAAATCGTAAAATAGTAACAGAAATATAACAACAAATGGTAACTTTTTAGAATAATTAAAAATTTTCAAATGCGGTGACCTTTGCAACGATATTTGCCGCCATGCAATAAAGCATTTCTCAATCGCATTAATTATTTCTTCGCTTGTAGTAGTTGTATAATTCTCGAAGCGATGCTTCCGCTAAACTTTAATTAAAATCCACGTGCGTCAATATCCCTTAAAGCTACCACTGGCGCAAACTTTCCAAATAATTATCCGGCGCATTATTTAATTCAGCTAATTACTATCGTGCACTGAGCGTACATTAGAGGACGAGCTCGACCTCTTTAGCGGAGCATCCTCGCGCGTTCCTCATTTTTCTCTCCTCTCTCTCACTTTTTGCATAGTAATCGCGTATGATGCATAATTCACGCATGCACGAAACGCCGTTTTCTCCGCCGCTCTTCCTCGACCACGTGCGGTTTTCGTGCGGCGATTTTTCCGCGGTCGCTTTCCCCCCGCGGCATGGCGTGCTAACTCGCGCGCGCGGGATACCTTTTTTTTTCGTGAGATGCATCTCGCGGATATCTACGACCCCTCCGCCACGTCGACGGGTACGTACGTCGTGCGCGACGCGGGGCAGCCGGGTTCGCACGTAGCAATTTATGGAAACCGCACGTAACGCGCGCTCCGAGCCGAGCCAACACGAGCGAGTGTTTCCACGGAGTGTTACGTAACGGATCGACGCTAGATCGACGGCCAAAGTAACTGTATTTTCGAAGAAGCGATTGTCGAAGCGAAATCGCCGGGCAAAACTTGGCCTAAGGATAGCCGCCATGCTGGCGACAGGGATGATAGGGGTGTGAAATATTGTTTGAGAGAGTAGATCCTTAAAAATCCACAGATTACAACTTGAACTCATCGAATAGATGTTTTTTAATCGATCGAAAAATATGATGAATTAATTTTTATTTAAATTTTATTTAATACAATTGGAATCGTTCAATATACATTAGGTATCTTAGATTTCTTTGCACATGTATTTATTACCAATAACTCGCATCGATTATCTTCGTGATTATAATATCGCATTGCGTAATTAACTCAATGCACTGCTTAATCGCACTTTTTTGTGAAATAAAAAATACCACGTGGCAGTTTTTACGCAAGTCACCATCGACTCTAGCTCGAGCAGCTGTACAATGTTGCGTGAGAAGCTATTTTCCCAGTCGTATTTAGTAATCTATTCAAATGACCGATTATTACATTTCGGCCTTGATGTTTTGCACCATTCGGGAATAAAAATGATACGTTCGGGACACGATCTTTATAGGTGGCGATTGGACATTCTAGCTACTCTTATTCCGTGGTACAACAGTATGTATGAAGGTAGTCATTTATTTTGAGACATAAAGTGCTTATTTTTAAGCAAAATGCTCAATTCTCGGTCAGTAGCGATAAAATTTATTCATGTATTAACATATAGCTTATTGATGCTATAAAACCGATTTTTAGCAATTCGCTACAGCGCAGTTTTACTCCAATTCTAACATTATTGAAAAAAAATCAACTTTAGATCAGTTTCAACGTAGTTTCTCTTTAATTCTCATCTGAATACGCGAAAACTCGTATTTCGTCTATGTCGCTGCAAAGATACGAATGCCGAATGCAGTTAAGTAAACTGAACGCAATTCTGTAACCGAGAGTTCCTGCGAAAGGAACACTGCAGCGACTATTCTCGTATGCAGAAAAAAAAAATAGTGCTCACGCGGAGAAGCGAGCGCTGGCGGAAAAACGGCGCGGGGCAAGGGGCTAGGCTAGCAGGAAGGTCTTCGAGGCGGAAGTTGCATGGCCAGCGCGAACAATGCGTGTGTCCCGCGAGCGGTCGTTTAATAACCCTGATTTGCCGTTTATACGGGAGGTCATGGAGGAGGCGGAGGTGGGCCGCGGGTAGGCACGGTGATGCGGGGCGAAGGGGCGGAGGGTGCTGATGATGGAACGAGAGGGTGAGCATCGGGATCGCGCGCAACAACCGTACATAATCACGTAATGCGGTTATCATGCCAATTGCGTAAATATTTGAGCCAATTTGCGGCATGCAACGGATTCGCTCTCCTCGACCCGTGGCTTCGCGAGAGAGACCGCTGCCCGATCTGGGCGACCTATTACGGCCAACTTGTTGGCGTTTGCCGACCTCTTCGTCTCTATCCTTCTCCCTCCGCCGTTCGTTGCTTCTTTATTTTCCCTTATTCTCTATTTCCTTCCCGTTTCTTCCATCTCACTCGTCCGGACGCCGTCCGGAGAAACAGAGAAGGAACTAGCTGCCACGCGCAGAAACCGCGGCGACGCGACGGAAACGTTCCGCTTGCAGTAGCTTCTGATCGTAGCGCTTTCAGTGCAACCACTCGCTGTGCGTACGTAAGCCGGGCAAATTTTCACTTGGCATTGCGCAATTGAATTTCACGGAGTGATGAAAAATTTCAATATTATTACAAAATTATTATTATATAATATTATTATTATTAAGTTTCCTGCATTTCGATGCGCTCATGTCAGATGGAAGGATTTCAAAATCATCGGACCACGAACATTAACTCAAAAATCCGCAAAGACTTTGTAGTTTTTTTCCAAATGAGATAGTTTTATTTCCAATGCTGAAACCGACGGTACGGGAAAAGTACAAGAAAAAAAGGGACCGAAGAGGAACTGGCGCCTCTCTCAAGACACGTAGTCGCTCTATGTGATCGTGCGTTGCCGGCCAGCTAGCCAGCCAGGACTCAGTTCCTGGTACTTGATTTCGGCCGTAGACTCGGGCTTCCACTCCTGCGTGTATCCGTTCGTCCGCTCGTCCCTCCGTTCGTCCGTGCCGCCTTCTCATCCACGCAGGTAGAACAGGCGGGCAGCCGCGGATCAATTAGGCGAATGCACAAGTGTGGACCTCGTAAACCTGTGCAGGACCTGCCGCGCCGACTTCCTTTCGGATAGACTGATGGCATTTGTGTGAAAGTCGGGCTGATCCAAACGCACGACGCGATTCTCCGTAGTAATCGCATATGTCATGATTAGAAACAATATGTACAATAATTCCGTCTATGGAACTGAATTATTTACGATAATCGAAAAAAATATTAGATTTTAATGTATCTTTGTGATAAACAATCACAAATCTGAAATTACGTCTAAAATTCAGGTTTTCTCTTCATAACCGCGTATCTCTCTTTGCCAAATGTAAAAATATAAAGACCAATGTATTTATAACACTAACGCCTCGAGAATCATACAGATCGCATACGTATCATCGTTCGAACGTTTCGGATCCTCTTGACTTCTGGCGGCTCATCGATTGACTTTAACAATGGCGATACGTAAAAGAGGTCGGGAGGTCGCCGTTTCGTATACAAGGCGTCATCCGCGACGATCATTGTGCGCCTTCGCCTGTTGTCTTCCCATCGGCGTAACGCGTCCAGAAGCGTGTGAAGAGATGGCGAGAATAGGGAGCAGAAAAAGTGGCGAGAAGTTGAGAAGCAGGAACAGAGGCGCCTTGTCATGCCGTGTAATGACGGCGGAGATGCGCGACGTTCGGTAGGAAGAGAGAGAGAGAGAGGCATGAATCAGATGAGAGAACGGGAAAAAGGAAAAGAAGCAATCACCGTCTTTTATCCCGTCGCTGAGATAGAGTCGCCTCAGTTGCAGAGTCGAAAGATATCCCTGCTACTGTCTGCGCAGTCGATCTTGCTCTCATTGCTAGCGTCTGTGCCGTTTACTTTCATGGAAGCAAAAATTTGTCCTTCTTTCGTTCTCGCAATATTGATAAATAACTAGTTCTAATCTAAATTCCATTGATGGATAAATATATTCTAGCAAAAATGCTTTCGCATTGCCGAGTTGTTTTATAAAGTTCATAATAATTCGTAAATTAAATCGTAAAAAATATAATACTTTATAAAGATAGATATATTGATAAAAAGAGATAGTCGCTAAAATTGATACGATGATATTTTTTAATTTTCGTCCGAAAATTGTTCAACTACAAAATATTTTCTATTCCTCCAATTTGCTTTCTCTTTCTTCTTAGCTTGTTTCTTAACTGTAGAAGCGATCTTGAGAGTAACGGCCAAAAGGACGCTACCGAACCGATATTATCAAGCGCTGGCAATTAATCGTCCCGTGAAAAACATGAATGGGAGAGAGCAGCGCGGCGCCTGACTCGGCGCATTAGTCGTCGACAGGAAACGACTCCGAAGATGACGTTTCCTTTGAGGGGGAAAAAAAAAGGAAGAATCTTCGAAAGTCGGTCCCTTTTCTCGAGAGTGATTATTTCGAGGAGGGGAGTGGCAATTTGGCGTTGGAATCCTCTTAAAGTCCACTGTCGATTTATGCCATTA